GTTTGGCACAAAGACAGGGATAAACAAATTTTCACTGCTCGAAAAAGACTACTGCACATTTGACTACATAAGATCATTGACTCACAAAAGAATCCATCAAACGTCTTGTTTCCATCACAAAAGCTCACTAGCATTCCAGTGTACGACCCTGAACAATAAGCAAAACTAAGTTGAGGAAGGAAACACGTGTGTCAAAAGGCACTTCCTGTGTACATTGGGTTCATTACCTCAGCACCCTGTTCCTATAATAAGAGAAAAATTCTACTTTTTTAAAACAACTTATCTGAACAAGTTGTTGGTGATGTCCTTTTTCCTACCAGAAAGAAAAGAGAACAGGGCCTTAGTTTTGGTTTTTGAGTGAAATGTTTGGGTAAAACGGCAGTGTACATGACTTCCCCGAAGGTAATGAATACCATGTACATGACGGTGTAGCCTAGACTCGTGTGCCTTTTGTGGGTTTTGGTAGGGAGGCCAGTGGGTTAGGTTTTTCCAGCAACATCCACAAGTCTGGTACCGTTGGAAAGAGCAACTCCAGAGAAGTTCACTGGTGCATAATTACCTTCACAGCTTGTAATATAACATCCGTGGCCTAAGATCAGAAGATAGGGAGGCTCGTAAGTTTTTACTTTGAGAACTCGAAGTCACTACTTTATCATACACTATACTCCGTGTAACTTTGGAACCAAACTTGATAATTGAATGATTCACAGGTGGAACAAAGCTATTTGGTCAAATTTTTCCCTGACAGCAAACCTGAGTAATAATCAAAGCTCTTAAAAATGATGGGAACAAGGTTTAAGAGCATGTGATCGTGTATGTTTTGAAAAAAAAATGAGATTTTTACTCACCAATCTCTTGTTTCAACCTGCCAACTATTGCTCTGTTCATGCCGATTGTTTTTAATCAGATTGCACATGCGTTGAGCCCACCAACAGCCATGCTCGCTGTGTCTGTGTCTAGGTTCGACAATTTTCGGAGGTGGGGGATTTTGCAATATGTCATTGCTACACAGTGCAGCACGAGTCGCACATCGTGTGTCCCGATCGTGATGGCAGTTTACGCAATGAAAACAAGTAAGGTTTGTACCCCCCACCACCGGAAATGGTCGAACCAAGGTGCAGAGCAGGTGGAGGTGCCTTTTGGATTCCAGAAGTAATAACAAAGTTGTAGGAACCAGACAAATTACTTTGTTATAACATGTATAACCTGGACTTTCAAAAAGGAGTGGGAAACTAGAAAAATGATCATAAGAATTCAAGAAATTGGGTTTCACAGAATTTGCTCTTTAAGACAGTTAGTTTGGGTGGAGAATGTTCTTTATATCGGGAATTTTCCCACATTTTCTGACTGCTATTCTTGAACACAAAAAATGGACACTTTTACTTTAAGAAAAAAGTGCCTGCCCATCAGGCAATTTGTCCTTAATTATTACTTGTCCGAACTGAAAGAGGAATTTGTCTCAGGCAATCGGAAAACCGCGAATGTCGAGGCCTGTCATGGACGATGTTTTTCTCCTGCTACTATTCTCTGGTCATCTACTGCACATTAACAGCCTTACATTGTGAGTTAGAATGGGTCCCCAGGCACCACAGAGAAATCAGCATTTTATTTTGTACTCTCTTAGACGGGGAGAGGGGAGCCAGGAAAAAGAGTACATGTACGCTTTGTATGCTTGTGAAAATGATGACAAAAATGGATGACCCCTTAGTGGTCGGTATGATTATATCATACATGAATGATGAAATCTACTGTTGGCATGCCTTCTGTCAGCTTCACACTTGTCACGATGATCCCGTAAAAAAATTAAAATGGGAAATTAAATTCATGTCAATAGCAATGGCACTCCTAACAGAGCCAGGTTACAGCAGATGGAAATGTGACCTGTGCGTTTGTGCATAAATACCAACATTGACCATCGATTGTTTTTTAATTAATAGCTGAAAAGTATTGAAGAGAAGAACAAAGATGTCATTCCTGTGGGAAAGACAACAGCAGAGGTATGCATGTCTTGCTATTAACAGATTAATGGAATTCTTAAGTGTAATTTTGATACTGGATTGTGTGCATGGGCAGAGATTTCTTGTCACGTGGGGAAGATGATTTCTGAAAGGTCATCCAGTACTTGGTAAGATAGTGACACCGGAATCGGTGGTGCAGGTTACAGGTGTGCGTAAAGTCAGTGTATTGCAAAGTGGGGGGGGATTATACTTGCATTGGTAATCCCCCCACTTCAAAAAGTGGGGAATATATCCCTCCATCCCTATCCCCGGACAAGTAACTTTGCAAATCCATTAGCATATTTGAGTAGACACTAGGCACATGGAAAGAATTCTGTATTATGGACACCACTTGACACCTGCGCATTAACTCCATGAGACTGGTCGGAAAAATTCCAAGAGTTTTCTAAGTAAACACCTCAATACCTTCACTGGTAAATTTGGTTTTTCATGACATTATTGCTTTCAGATGGCTAATAGGTCACTGTAGGGAAACATTAGTGGCATCCATATATCGAAGACTTACCACACACAGGGCCAGTGGCTTTCCTTTGCCCCACCAGCGCCTTTATGTGTCACCAGGGAAAAGCTTGTGTGCAGAAAGAAATGGTCATGTTGCTTCAAATACACAAACCCCTCCAGATGGTGTATGTCTTCACTTTTTTAATTTCAATTGCAGCCCTATGGTGACTATGAAGAGGAGGAGGAAGAAGATGAAGATGAGATTGAGTCTGAGGAGGAATCAGATGAACCCGATGACCTGGAGGTGACAGACTATGACCAGGACTCACCAGATGATGTAAGTTAATAGATTGAAGACTGGGCACTAGAGCTCAAATGCTTGTGGTCCATCCATTCTGATCAGAGTTCTTTGGAGGCCAAACAACTTTCTGGTGGATGACTATTCACTGCCAAGCTAAGGCTCATCTGTAATGTTACACATTCAGAGGTCGTATAATTTAAATTAAAACTGACACACACTGATTTGGGTCTTCTCCCACAGAGTAAAAACAGCTGCAGTTTAAAAAAGTAAAACTTTCACTTCTTTTAATAATTCTAGATCCGTCTGTCCACTCTACATCTTTAGTGTAAAATCTAGGGAAAATTTAGAGCAGAGGAAGTGAATAAGACTAAGAAAAATTAAGCTACTGACAATATAAAATTTGAACTTAAGGCAGCAAACAGCACGGTAAGAATTTTGTAAGAATTACAACTACGATGGAGCACCAAAAGTGGACATTACAAATGTGTCATTTTATAATGATGGATATTCAGGTTCTTAAGAATCTGCATCTAGCACTGAAAAGATCATTTTTTTGTGAGCAGAAATGTGGATTTTACTTTGACAACTCTCATGGCACCCTAAAAGTAGTCAACTACTGTAGAAACTGAAGGAAAGCTGCATCCCGACGTTCAAATTGAACAGTCTTTGAACAATGAAAAAATTGGGTTGTCCACTTTCCACGCTCCACAGGCTATTTTGCATTCAGGTCCCTTTTTGTTTTCTTTCAATCAGGGATCATATCACATTTATCAAAACGGGATTTTAACCAGCAAATCAGCAACACACTTTCCAACATGTTAGGCATCTAAGTGCTTTCTGGCCCCCATGGTTTACCATAAATCAAAACCCCGCCCTCTTGCCTTGAAAGTGAATCGGCTGATCCAAATTTCGCTGGCTTAATTAGCCATCTTGATGTGCCATTAGCCCACTGTTTAGGTGAATTCAAAACATTTAACAGGGACTCTTACTCTTTATATAGGTAAGGGTCACTGAGCTCACCTTTCCAGGGTTGTGGTTGCTTATTGTAGGGTACTATAAGTTTACTCCCAACCTATGGGGCTTAGCTAACGCGCCAACTCAGTCGTTATCGTGACTTACTCCAGCCACAAATGGGTAAAACCTACATACCCTCAGTATAAAACCTTACCCTTCTGTGTCACCCAGCAGACTAGTATGCATAGCTGTTACATATTCCTTACTTTCTGGGCTAAACTAAAAATTTATGCACATTGATTGGCTAGGCTAATACACTCCCTACTCAGGTGTGCGATGTTTGGGAGGGGCAGACTGAACCAAAAGTAAAAGGCGGGGAGGGACCACTTGGTGAGGGGCTCCTTTATTACAGTGGGATATCAAAAGAGTATATATTGCTTGTAACAAAGAACTAAAAGTGTTGAAAGACTGAGGAAAGGATTTGAAAGGCTGATGAAAACTTTCTCACAACTGAAATAAGAATCAGTATGCTGCTTGTTACGTACTCAGATTCTCATCTTTCCCTTGTGGGAGTTTTTTGGAGATCTGTGCTGTGAAATGGCCCAGTTGTTGTATTTTCTGCATTCAAGGTCTCAGTCTGGGGTGAAGTCAGCGTTTCATTTATACGTCTCAATCCTATGGTGGTTTTCGCCGTCTTTTTGTATACTGTGTTTTTAATTGTTGTTCAGGTTGAGATGGATATTAACAATGACGTGGAGGCATCCAATTCACCACCGTGGATGATGTGATGAAGAAGTTTTGACTCCCCAAAAATTAAACTAAAGTGTGATTTGTGTACATATATTCCATCATGGTGCAGTTTCTGGTGACTCCAGAGAAATTGGACAAGACTAACAAAAAGTTCTACTGAGAGCAATACTAATTTGTTCCAAGCCTTAAAAGATACTTGAAGGAAAGTCAATGTTATGTTAACTGTTCCAATGTAAATTGTAAATAAGGTTGGTTTTATTTATGAAGTCTGTAATCCATCAAGAGTTTGAGAAAATTTGATAACATTTGGTGTTACATTTAAAACCCTGCATAACCACTTGACACCATGTGGTAAACACACACAAATTTCCTTATTTGTTCCACGGAGGCTGATTACTGGGGAGCAAAACCACACTTAGAGAAGAGATAAGGTTACAGAATCCCATCTAGCAACTCCTCTGTATCAAAATAATTTGCAAAAAAAACACACGTGGCCTCAGATGACACCTGTATACGCTATGGACTTTCTGTATGTGAACTGGTTGACGTGTGGACGCGTGCCACGATTTTTACCAGGGCAGTTGAAAAATGTCGAGAAGAATGAAAATACTGACGCCTGAACACAAGAGCTGTAACTCCCTTCATAATATATGGGCATCAAAAATAAATTGCAAGGTTGAAGAATTTGCAGGAGAGAACCCTGCCCCAGCAGCTTTTTCAGGTAAGAAAATCTGACATTAACTGGATCAAATAAACCAAACAAAAATGATTAGAATGAGATGGAAATATGACATTGAAATGGCAGCCTGGAAAAATATGAGTGTGTAGTTTGCACATAGACAATGGGAAGCTCTTAGATTGCCAATCCACATTGGGTAGCCTCATCTATGCCACTCCAATGTTTAAAAGCTGGCATTTTAGGGGATTATAAGTCTATGCCTGTAATACTGTGGGGAATGAAAAAAGGAGGAGACTAGCCATATTTTGGAATAATTTGAACTGGAAGACCCTAACGTTAAAGTTGGGCAGATGAGTTTATTTTACGGAGAAAAATGATGCAACTAAATGTGGTTTCAGCAGGTGTGTAATGGTCTTGTCCTATGCAAGCATAATAAAAGTTGTCCATTATTTCCTGAATGTTACGTTCTTGTGTTTATTTAAATTATGCATACATGTTAACTACATGTACTGAAAAAGATCAGAATCAGACAAAAAATGAAGTGATGTCCTCATACATATAACTTTGTAAAAGTTGTGTGTGAATTTCAGGGGCGGGCGTCAGTGGTGTAAATCAGTTAAGCTTTCCTTTGGAAACAGTGTTATGTTTTATGTGCATCAAATGTGGTAATGCAGAAAAATTTGCAGTGACTAGATTCCACTTGTTTTTATATTTTGGGTATTGTAGAGATCCCAGTTCATTTATATGAAGCAAACTATGGGACCGAGAGGACCCCCCCTGCCTTTGTGTTGGTCATTGTTATAAGGCTGGTATCTCAGGAATTCTTTTCACTATTTCAGACATCTAGAGGGGATATGTTGAGTGAAAATAGGCTGGAGTATTTATAGGGATTGAAACTGTTGGGGGGCACCCCTCTGTCCCATTTCGTGCCTGGCATAGTTCAGTTTTCTATATTTTGCCAACATATGGTCTGAAGACTATTAACAACTTGTCAACTGGGGGCGGTATACCTTTTCATTTAGTCTTGATGCCAGACCTGATGATTCTGACTACTCATGGAATCAAGGGTCCGGTATCACCTAATGTCCATGTGACCAAGACTGGAGGAATTCCTCCAGTTCTCCCGAAATTCTCCGAAGTCGTCCCATCTATATTCTGCATATTCGGATGGTACCATTAAAGTTGGGTTATTCCCGGCCGGGTAGTAGACAAGCTGTTGAACCATGGTTGAACGTAAACTCCCGTATCCTAAATAATGGGAGGCTAGAAAATTTGACTTAATTTACACACTGAAATCGACGGTCGCCTTGGCCAAAATCGATGCGAGGTGAAATGCCCTCAGAAAGAAGGTGCACCACTGCATTGAAATCGAAAATACTCGGCAGGGCTCTCAACTTGTGACCTCTGACCCTTGTGTCACATCTATATCCGTGGGTGATGCCTGACCTAAGGGTGTAGTCCACTAATTCAAGCCCCATGAAAACAGTGTAAAATCAACATTCTTAAGGCTCAATAACATGCAAGCCAACATCCCTGAGGTTTGTCAAACAAAATGGAATTACTCCGTGGTCCTTAAACTTTCAATTTCTTTTCAATTTTTAGGGGGGGTTAACCGATGATTTTTTTTATTCTTCACACACACAAAAAACAACCCCCAAAAGGAGAAGTTGTGAAGTCTGTGTTTAGCCATTTTTAGTGCCAACCCTCAACTTTCTCGGGCACCTAAGACAATTTCCAACCGTAGTTTTCAGCCACTCTGCTCAAAGATGGAAGCCCAAACCCCCATGAACTTGATTCTGCCAAACAATTTCCTTTTTCAAAAGAAACTGTGGGGGGGGCACATTTTAATGCTAGTGAGCGGGCCAGAAATTCTCGCTTCAATTAGCAGACTATACCGCTAAGATTTTTGATCAAGAGTTGCCAGAGAAGGTTTGGGCAGGGAACCAGACTACATTTCAACAATCGACAGATAGCTACCAGCAGAAAGAATGAGGGCGCTATACAGTTTTAACGGTGTATGGTTGACAAGAGCTCTCTTGCGCCCAACCACGGCAGTTGTCCCAATTACACTTGGATTGTCCCATCTCTAGTTGGAACGGTCCCAATTGAAGTGTAGAAAATGATTGATTTCATTTCAGTGGCATAAATTTGCGACGGGAACTGGAAGGATGGGGGGGGGGGTGACTGGCCTGGCTATGGAACATTGAAAAACTGACGGGGGGGAGAAGGGAAGTTCGGACACCATATTACATTTCTGGTAATGTTCACGATCATGTACATGTACTCCACTCCGCAGAACGTTACATCAAAAGAGTGTATTTATGACTCGAAAAATGCCCTCCTGTTATGAGTGACGAATACCTTTTTGTTGTTGGGATGTCCAAGAAATACTTCACAATCCACTTATTTTTTCTCACCGCAAAAAAGGAAGGGGGAATGAGCCAATTGCCAATTACGGCACATACCCCATTACTCCTATTCGCTTTAAAAGCAAAACAATACTAAACAAAACCAACGAACAAACAAATTAATAAATACTAACAAATCACTGAGAAATAAAAGCTCGTAGCCCAATTAACTAAATTAAGTTGAGCCTTCGACCCTTCCTCTGTAAAACTCACTCTTTCATTAGAGAATTTTCATTTAAAACTGGCCAGCAACCTCAATTGCGATTTCCTCACTCATCTGTCACAGTTGGGATGTCTCAACTCTTGTCGGGCCATGACCTAAGTTAGGAACATTTCCATAGTTGGGATGTAACAAAGGGCCGGTTCCATTTTCCATCTGCGCATTTTTCATATACCGTTAAAACTGTGTAGCGCCCTCAGTGAGCAAGTTGTGGAAAGCAAAACAAAAATGGCTGCACGTTGTGTGACTGAGAGATGTTCTCAGGTAAGATAGAAATGCTTTTATTATTATTTTTTAAGTTATGTTGGCCTAGAGAAAAAACAGGCATACTGTTCAAATCATGGTGTTCATATGCGTTGGCAGCATTTGCCAACATATGCTCCCCATTGGCGGAGGAGATGCGACATGCAGGTGTACTGAAGTTTCGTCTTCAATTGCTAGCCTGATACTATAGTAATACCAAGCCGGCTAGCGTTAGTAATTAGTGTTCCTCTTTTTCGATTTGGACTGGATCGGTCATACTAACGCTCCACTACATTGCATTTAGTGAAGTGACAGCGGTTCTCAAAAATCCAAAGATTCACCAAAAATAGGCCTATCTTTTTCACAACCTACTGGCTTTCTTAAATGCCAAAGGAAAACTATTGGTGCTTTAGTGATATTTATGACTTCAAAATCTGTCAAAATCGGACCATTTTCGCTTGATATACACGCACAACACTTAAACTCTTCGCCGCCTGCTCCATTCAAATATGCGGACCGAGATTTTGCGATCGCAATAACTCTATGGGTAAACATGGTCCTCCCAGAAACACGCATGAGTGGCCTATACGTGGTCTGGGCACAAGACTTGTTGATCGTGACGGTTGGGAGTGCTACCGACAACTGTTTCCTGGTCAATACATCTTGTGCCCCGACTACATATGTGCCGCTCCCGCAGTTTCTTTGTGGAGTGTTTGAAAAAGTGGAAACAGTTTGATGTTTTACAGACATAAAGTTGTTCACAAAAATGCATGGCTTGTGTGTCATCGAGTTCCACGATGCATCAGGAATGTTGAAACCTCAGCCTTTGCCTCTTACTACGTTCTTGTCCTCAGATGCTGACTCATGGGCCTCTCCACCTTCTCCCAGGCCTGCCTGGCCTCACCTTGGTGAGGACGCTGTGCTTGTCATCACTTCAGCTTGGTGCACGTCGGTACACGGGGCGGCCCACCTTAGCCGACCGCCCGGTGGTAAAAATGCCCCAGGGGGATGACAGACCGCACATGCTGCATGTTGTGTGGCGGATACGGTCAACCAAGAGGCGGCCATATTGGGAGAGGGATGTCATCAAGCAGCTGATGTTGGAACGGGTAAAGAACTCTTACCGTTCAAATTACATGTACTTTTGACAACTCCCTGCCCCCTTGTTTTCAGGCTTTGATTAGTGTCTGACCATTTTTTTTCACATTGATGGCATCAAATTAAGAATAACATCTTTACTTCAGGGCAAACGGGCCTTGTTTTTACCCCAGTTTGTAGCTCAAGTAATCCGCAAACATCCAGAAATAAGCCCAGAGAGAACTGTCCAATTCCAGCATGTTGAATAAAGTAACAGAAAACAGAAAAGTTAGTGTTAAGAGGGAAGTCTGTGGGCTTTTCACAAAGTAAATGTAGACATTGAATTCACAGAGCATGGCTCAGCAATAGAAAGCTGTAACCTTCAGCAAGAATCCTTGTTTATGTCAAGTGAATTGTGACGTTTACATCTCCTGCCACAAATGTTTTTTTCCTGCAGAATTTCTTTCCAGTTGTGCACAAGAACACAGAGTCAGTGAATGCGCTCCTGAGGCAAGTCCGTCACCTGGTGCGGATTAAGCCCCTGGTCCTGAAGCATGGCCTCCCCCATGGGGACTATGACTCCACCCTCCTCAAGTGGAATGGTGAGTTTGTCGTCCGCCGCAAGCTGAACAGCCTAGGGCAGGAAGTCGTGACGGACGGGGGAGAGGAGTTAAAGGGCCGGCAGGAAGCAGGGGCTGAGAAGGAGCCTGCCAGGGACCCCGAGTCCAGATGACGACGACCAGGTTTGCCCACAGTGTCAGCAATCCTGTTTAACACTAGAGAGACCTCATCAAAGTTGATCATCAGATTTCATGATATGGTCATGCCATGTCCACTTCTCAGAACTCAAAAGCCACTGCATTCTACTTTGCATGTGCGGCTTGGAATCTTGATGGATTTGAAAGTGTTGCTGCACTAGATAGTACAGGAAAAAACATGTAGAGAATTGGATGGCCAATTATTAGCCTTATATTTTACAATGTTACACCTCCCATATCATCATCATTCCCATCTTCAGGATTTTCTCCACTGATGTAGGACAGTTATTTTGATACCAGGATAGACATACTGTTCTTGCAAAATACCTAGTTTTCCAAGGCAGGTTTGCCAAAAGTGTGATACATTTCTCACTGACATGTTTTCAATGAATATACTGGCTGGCACACCAGAGAGCATGACGTATAAATGACAATGAGAGCAAAGCCCTATGTTGGATTGTACCGCAACCTCACAGATGAACATGTACTCAGTAATGGATATCTCCAAATGCACAGCAAGGCTGCCTGGGGCATTTCTGGAGGATAAATGGTGGTTGCAACCTTCCCCACTTTTTGCCAGTTTGGTCGGCAAGTTGTAGTTCCCATCAGCGGAAGTGGCCAGCTGTTGGAACAATGCCTCTTGCCTCTAATGTTGACGACATCCATTTTGTCTTCAGTTTCCCTTGATTTGGAAGATTGCATAGCATAGATACTCTCTGAGGCTTCCTCGCTTTTCTGAATATCACACAGTGAGCTCGTTGTGTATGGTTGAACAAGATGACTTGGAATTCAGAAGAGTAGTTGCTGCAGGAGAGTTGATTAAGAATTTTTTTATGTGGGGTTGGTTCTGGTCTGAGCCCCTACCCTCCCAAAACAAATCCAGAATACAACATTAGGATGGGGTGTTTTGGGGTTAGTAGGAAGAATCACAAGTAAATTTTGTCTGAGAAGTTTGGTTAGTCCAAGGATTCATAAATATTTTGTCAGTTGATTAAATGTTTGCTTGTACCTGGTTTTGCTTGAAGCTGATTTTAAAAAATAATGTTCCGTGTACTTTTAAAATCCATGTCACTATAAAAAAATGGAATCTTCCCCCGAATGGATTTCTCTGCTCAGTTTGTTTAATTTGTAAATTAAAAACAAGGAATTCTAGCAATATGCAAGAATAATGTGTTACTTGTGAATTCTTTTGAAAAGCTTTTTTAGTTTTATATAAAAGGCAAATTGTCCTTGGGGCAAAAATATGTTGCAGTTCTGCCCCCGATATTTTGGAAGCCCGCCCTCATTCGCTCTCGACCCGAACGCAGGAGGAGCGTGCGGTGGAATGCGTCCATATCGGACGAGTAGCCAGTCTAATCATGTTCACAGGTCTTTTTCTAAATCACGTGAATTTGATAATTCTCTAGAGCAAAATTGAGCTCTATCAAGGGTTTTCTGATCCTTAGCAGATAATGTCACTAATTTGAAGCCTATACAAGTACCGCCCGCTGAAGGTGAATCCGAGTTTTAAAATAAGCTCATTAACGCGGGCCGGCGGGCATGCAGCCGTTATTGCAAAACCACCAGAATGAGCGATTCCTGCAAGCAAAATCGAAGTCCAGTTTGGTGTCGCCACTGATCTCCATCAAAAAGACTATATAATGGAGATTAATGGGTGTTCATGCACAAAATTCTTGAGGAACGCGAGTAAATGACTTGACAAAAGTATCGATTCCATTGTAACAGATAAAACCGAATAATGAAAATCACTTACGAAATTTTAAGTGCAAACCATTACATAAGGTCAAAGTTCAAATCTTAGGTAATATACGAAGGGCGAATGACCTTGAATTTTGATGACTGAGAGCCCAGTGCCATCACAATCAGCGACGATGTGTTACGTACCGAACTTGCACTGGGAATATGTAACAACCAGACAACATATATCGTAAGTGTGACTTTTGAGTAATAACAATGTTAAAGTAGTGTTCGGGAGGGCAAGAATGAATTCGCCGTGGCCCAAACGACAGTGGATCACTTTAAAAGGGAGATTTGTGACGACTGACTTTGTTGGCCGTGCTGCACCGTGGTGGAAGAGAAAGAAAGACGCACATGTGCTTGCCAACCATGTCTGACGGGAGCGATTTGCATGATCATGTAATTTCGTAAGTTGCCTACATATCTACATGTGCCTGTACGGTCATCATTTAGGCCCAAGTATTTCCTTGCTCTATCATATCTATATCATGTCTATGGTGCAGTAGAGGTGAAGCCAAGATTTACAGAACTGTAAGTCACACACACACACACACTGACAGATTTGTGACTTGTACCATCATGACCGTGGCCACCACTGGGCCCACTGTTCCCAGATTTGTCGACATTCCACTATCAAGTATCATGACTACAAGTATCTTGTCTAATGTTTTAGTCTACTGCTTTGTGAAAAATCTAGGAAAACAGTGTGGCATTTTCAACGTTTAAATCAAAGGTATTGTAATTTTGTGTGGGATAGCCACATCAGGCGTTGGCACAGCAAGCTGCAGATGCAGATACAAATTTATCTTGTGTAAAATCTATGAATTACAGGGCATTCATAGCAATCGAACAACATCGATCCGCAAGGTCAAGGTGGTGGAAAACGGGCATGACAGGTTTTCATTCCCTTTAAAAGGAGCAGTTTTCAACAGGTCATGCTGTTAAGTGTCAACAAGCGTCAATAAGTTATTCAAGCAAATTTGGGTCATCTCGTACCCCGGGACAACTCGTACCCAGGTCAACTCGTACCCCAGTCAACTCGTACCTGAGTCAATTCATACTCGAGTCAATTCGTATGCTTGCATGTACATGTATTATTGTCATCTGTGGATAATCTTACCAGTGGCTGTTTTGCTTGTAAAGAATCAACTTTTTAATTAATTTCAATTGTTTAATTCAGTTCGGTTCAAAAGTGCAATAATCCAAAATTTTTGGTTTGGTTTGGCGGTTCAGCAGCAGCACTATTCTAACTCACAGAGTACAAGTTGTCCTGGGTACGAGTGGTCCTAGGTATTAGTTGACGTGGGTATGAGATGACCAGGTTACGAGTTGATTTGGGCGGGAGTTTGGGGATACGAGTTGACCTGGGTACGAGTTGTCTCGGGTTCGAGTTGACCTGATTCCATTCAAGCATACAAAGTGTTGATTAGGGTCCTACAGTATATATTAAATTCATTGTATTACATCAATCTGAAATGATATTTGAGTGTTGAAATTTGAGTGACAAAGTCAGGCCTGTTTGTGCAGTCCGACCAGCCGCCATCTTGCTTTCGCGTGGATGGCAGAGGAAAAAAAGATGGTGGCCCCCATATATCCCAACAAAATTTTCGTTTTCTGCAAGGAATATGGAAGCAAATTTGGTGTTTCTCTGACACAGTGGCAAGTGTTAGAGTTTCAAATATACAGTAAAGCCACTTTTAAATCTGTTTAGGGTATTTTTAAGTTGCTGACACGTTGTTGACGCCACTTTTGTGTGTTGACGCTAAAAAATAGCATGGCCGGTTTTCAACGGCTAGGATTAATCAATTAACATTGAAGAAATGCGCTCGTATACAATGTAGATGTAGCACTAGCATTGCAAAGTCACGAAAAAACTTTATCCAAGAATGCAGTTGACGTGTCTGTGACATTGAAACGAGTAGGTGTATGACATGTATGATAATGCACATGTGTGCGCACTGTCAATGACCACACTTTCATGTCTCTCTACACATCGATGAAGATCTAAAAACTCCATTCTTAGTTGATTCACTAATAATTATAAGCAAAGAAGAAATTATGTCCTGAAACATGTGAGGTTTAACATATGGAGTTGTACTTTTTGTTGAGGAAATCCCTTTCACCATTCCTCTCGGAAACAGCCACCATATTTAAATTATACCATTTTGCTCTGGGGGTGATTTTGAATCCTCTCCTTAAATTAATTTAAATTCACACTGATCCAATTTATTTCTTACTTAATACCTTACACTTACAAAAACCTTGCAGAACAAAATTTCTGTTTTCTTGAAAATTACAGCATTCTGGGTGGAAGGGTAGAAGCTTTTATTGTAATTTGAAATAGGACTGGGGGATTTACATGTACCGGTATGTAGGGCTGCACATAAGAGTATGGGTAAGTTGTCGTTTCTTCGAAGCAGCTTGTATGGATGTACACGTATGCTGCTTGTATTGCTGCACAAGGTAGTGTACAGATTCAGTCTGGTCAAATATGGATGGCACTGTACATTTTCTTAGATATTGAGGAAAAACATCCTATGTCCAAGCACTGGCTGTCAAAACATGGATCACTTTATCACTAGCATTACATGACTGTCCAGTATACAGGTACACACGTGTGGTCTGTATCATTCAGTTATTCCATCCATACTGGTTACTCAAGTGAGAACATGTACATGTAGTGTACACTTTTACGTTAAACTGCAACTGAACAGTTTCCACAACATGGAATGTTGCACAGTTTGTCCCTGCATTTGAAGAGGCATGGTAGTCAATGAATAAACACAGAACAAATGCACGTGCCTGGACAGGATGTACATGTAGACAAGCTAGGCTAAATTGCTTCAAAGGACGAGTTCTCATGGTGACCATGGTGCCTGGCATACATGGACGGGCAAGTTACGAGTACATTGAAGGTAGTATCCATAGAACATAACCGGTATGTTTAGGAGCAATCATGTTGGATAATACAAATTCCATGGTGGTCTGTATTTTTTTTCATTAACAGAGTATCAAGCCATGGATCTTGCCAAGCAAGCTTTTAGTTGCAATAATTGTGAACTTGCGACAGAGATTTTTGATCACCTTCTGCACACTCATGGACCCAACATGGATTGGCTGATTGGAAGGGGAGATACCTACGCCCAGCGGGGGCATATGAACGAGGCACTGGGGGACTACATGCACGCCTTCCGCCTGGGCGAAGTGGTACCTGACCGGCTGAAAGGACTGGTGAATGCTCTCATTGCGTCCGTGGCCAAGAAGGGCAATCTGGAGGCCTCCATTCAGCAGTTCAGGGCTAAGCTCAGAGAGCAACCAGTGGACCTGTTGTCCTGTCCCGCGTGCCAGGCTCTGTTGTATGAGCCCGTGACCCTCCCCTGCGGCCACACCGCCTGCCGGGACTGCCTGCTGCACTCTGCTGAGGCTAGAACTTGCACCAAGTGCAAAGTTAAACATCCCCAGCTGGTCGCTGGGCACACGCTGAGGGTCAACGTGGTGCTGGGGGGTCTCTTGGAGAAATACTTCCCCCAAGAGACCAAAGCTCGACAGTTGCGGGTGGAAGGGAACAAGTTGTATGCCAAAGGAAAACTTCAGGATGCTGTACAAAAATATAGTGATGCAACAAAATTAGGTAAGGAATCACAGTGTCTTATGCAACATTTGCATAGAACTGTTCTCTACTGGGTTGAAACTTGACAAGACATAAAAGTGAACAAAGCCATGCTCGCAAATGAGCTTTCTGTAATGTAGAGGGTCCATGTCAACGTATTTAAAGGACATCAGATGACTCCGAGATACACTGTACATGTAGTGTTATATGAGGTTATGTAAGTCGGCAGTTTAAGAATGAGCAGTTTTGAATTGTTGGTTTGTTTATATTCATCATGGTTGCTTATTTTTTTTTTTTTTTTTTTTAACATATAGTTTTCTTGTCATCACTATCCGGCTTTTTCCCCAGTCCTATCAAACAGTTGAGCTTCCCTTTGAATAAAGTAAATCGAAACATAAATTGGGTTATTTGAAAGAAGCAGCATGGTGCATGGTACATGTAGCATGCACATCTTAATCCTGCAACAAAAATTGGGGCATGTGATTTGGTTTCCTATATATTCCAGATCTAAGTTTTGGCCACGTACAGTACAGGTACAAGTATATGTATTGTATTCAAAATGTGAGAATCCTGGAAAACCAGTTAAAGGGATTGCTGTGAGGTGATCCAGGTTAATTTCTTAAAATGTGTAAAATTTGTATCTCAGAGATCCTGCACTTACTAGAACATGTACCCCCCCAACAGTTTCACAGGTGGGACATATCTTTCAACAATCAAGTGTTTCATAAGGGTTATACTGTGCAAGCTGTCCCAGGAGGCATGGCTTGCCTTGGTTGTGTAAGGTGCATGTGGTGGCAATGGTGGGGAGAGGGGGTTGTGGACATTATGTACTCATACAGGGGTGATTTGTAAGCAAGTGCATTAGTTTGTACACATACATGTACCAGTATATGGAGATGTACATGTAGGTCTATACATGTAGGTACTGTATGCTGGATGGTTGTGTAACAGATGCAATGACTCATGAGTGGTTACCTGTGTGTATTACCGTAGGGACATGACAGGTGATATGTATACACACATGTACCAGGCTACCAGCATACAATCTACATGTGCATGTACCAGCATGTGGCTCATGATCATGTGCATTTCATGTGTTATGCACATGTTGCAGGTTGTACATGAACATGCATGTAAAAAGCACAAGCTCAAGACAAATTGAGGCCATGTCTCTCAGTGAACCTTGCTCTGTGGTGAAACAGGCACAGGTGTCATGGCCGTAACATACAGTACATGTACAATGTGGATCCATGTACCAGGAACATGGACATGTGTACATATAACTATATGGTACATGCACAGAGTACAGTGTACATGTACATTACTTTGTATTTGGCATAATGCTGCTCTGAACGCTTGTCTCAGATATACAGTACTTGTTCATGTTGTGTACAATGTACATACACCATTACATGTACTGTGCAAGTCTTCTACAGTACTTTGAGATTGGGAAGAGAAGAAAGAAGGCATGAGAAGACCATTCAGTGTCCTCAACCTGGCCCAGTTTAGGGCTAAGTTAATTTGAATAATTCATTATTCGAATACTCGACCTTCAATTTGATCGAATATCCGAAGATTCGGTCATACCAAGCGGCAGATTGTTGATGAACAATTCATACAAAATCAGTTGAACATGTACATGAACATTGTTATCAATATCATAGCTTCTCACATAGCTTGTCAGAGATGAACAAGACATATGTAGCCCTGTCAAAAATCTCTATTCCTTTTAATGTAAATTGTTGTTACGAATAATTAACTTTTAAAATCCAGATTTCTGACGCTTTTCATTTGAATCTGCTTGAAACAAGCCACCATAATGCAGTGTTCTCATTGTTTCATTCAAATATTCAAACTCGAAAAATAATATTTGACAATCAATCAAATATTTGGTTATTCGGATATTCGGCACGGCCCTAGCCCAGTTGGGTTTGTCATGGAATCTGAGGCAATTCTATTATAACACACAAATCACCCATGTAAGCTACTGGGTATCAGATCCACCCACTTCCTCCCTTCCCATAATAAAATTACAACCTGCAGGTTTACATCTGTTCACCTCACCTGTGATGTGGCTAAAAGTGAATCCATCTGCTTATTTTCCGAAGGAGTGGGCAAAATGAACTTGGTAGACAGATAGAAGCGCCCTTTAGTTTCATCAGGATTGTAGATTGTCTTGCTAATAGATAAGGCAACAGTAAGATCATGATGTGATATTTTGAAACAATGCCAATGGTTATACTTATACATGTACCTGTATATGACGTTCGTGGATACATACATGTACATGACATTCATATTCGTAGATGTAAAAACTTTCCTTGAAGTTGAAGCAAAAAAGCATTATTGTGCCATTGGGGGGTTAATGCTGGGTTTGCATAGATTTTGCATGTTAGGAAAACATTCAAAGCCTTCTGTGTGATTCTTAAATGCAATTTTTTACAACACTCGATCCTATCTGGCTACTCCATTTTGAGTAAACATCACAAGATTCCCCTATATTCAGAATCTTTGACAAAAAACAGGACCTCTTCAATCTATAAATGGACTGAAGCCACAGAATTTTAACTGCAAATTGTCCAGGAATGGTTTCAGCCTCAGTTTCAAATGGAATATGGGGAGGCATTTCTAGCATGAAAAGTCTATGGAAGTTGAACCCCTACACTGTACATTTCTGGTGCCCAGTGAAATGTTACACAACCCTCACTTGGATGAGACCACAATGTGTGAATGGGGCCTGCTGTTACACAAGAGTGAAGTCAGTTGTTGTGAAAGGGCAAGGACCAGCAGCCAAGCACAAAGGCTGCTCTTATGTATGCACTACATTGACACTATGCGTACCATGTAGTTAATGTAACTAGGTCAGTTGTGTAACAGTCTAGGTACATGTATGCATTATGCGCTGTATGGTAGAACATGAACTGTACGTTATATGTAAATTCTCCCATGCTGATCTGACATAAATGCCCTGGATGGACTCTACATGTACATGTATGTCTGCACAGAGAGTTCTACTGTACTCTGTACATTAGTTTTCCTGAGTTGTCTTTTGTGTGGGGGTTTATATGTAATAGGGCCGTAATAGGACTTTGTATCATAGACAGCCCACTTTAATCAAGAGTCTGAGTGATACAACGTGTATGTTCAGGAGCAACCTGAATTGAATGACCTTACTATTGATTCATAGATAAAGTTTGCTTACATATATATGTAGGCTCAGGAAAAAAAATGAAGTTGATCAAAGTCATCCGTTATTCAACCAAAGAATTAACTGGGTCAGTTTGGCTGGCTGTTTATTTAAAGGTGCCCGTCATTTTTCCTGAAAAGATTTTTTTAATTATCGCTGGGATTGCTGATCACGAGCATGTTGAGTCCATTCATGTAGATAGGCCATTCCGTAAAGTTACCAGTAGGGTCCAATTTTCTTTGTGTCCCTGTCAAATCTGATGTATGATGTTATGTGTCTAAAAGACATGCTTTAATTTCCAAAAGCACTTACATGCATACATGTACATGTAACTGTTGCAGATTACTTGCCAAGTAAGTGAAAGTTGTTTGAAGTCATTTTCAGTGATATATGTACATGTAGTTCCATGTCAAATTACATTCCATGTCAAATTCATTTGGCAATGAAACTCTAAGTGACCCAAATCTGAATTAATACACTGAAATGTACATACAGTATGAGTAGTTATAATTTTGATAACGTAGCCTTTATCATTGAAGACATTAATTCCTCCTTATGATTTTTTATGTGTTGCTGTGAGATTTTTGCATTTCATGTAGAATAAGCCACTTACAAGTTAAATTTGAAAAAAATCTGGTACACTGTATTAACTGATTGCACAGAAATGTAGCAATTTGAATTCCCCAGACTAAAGACACTTTTGCTACATGTATACCTCATGATTCAGGGCAAGCTTTTGCATCGCGAGCACCATCTCTGGAATGGACTGGTTCCTTTGTACCATTCTTATCCATTGAGAACAGTGTATTGTTGCAAGGCATCTCTAGTCTTATTTATTTAAGCAAAGCTTGCCCCGAATCATGAGGTATGGCAACAGTGGTTTTTTAGTATGGAGAATTCAAGTTGTTATTTTAACGTGAATTTAAAGAATTCAGTGTACCAGATTTTATTCAAATTTAACTCGCAAATGGCTTCTTGTCATCTTTTTTCTGTTCTTCATATAATTTATGTCTTAATGGCTGCATTTTTGTTGACTTTCCCGGAAATTTTTTTGATAAGTTTTCAAATAAGTACCAGTTACTGGTATCTGCCCTGGGCAAGACCAAGAGAGGGCACAATTTTCCTAGCAACAGTGGTTGCTATGATGGGAATTGCACTCACTGGCTCACAAATGTATAGTTTTCTCATTCATTTATTGCACGTTATAGCACAGGATGTACAGAGACTGTTCCTGATTCCTTTTGAGATGCTCAAGCTGTTTATGGACAGTAATGAGGCAGAAACCAGGCTTCAGTAAAAGTTATCCAGTTGAGGATGTACATGATATGTACCTCGGTACATGTACAATGAAATCTTGGTAATTCGAAGTCAGTTAAGTTGAAAATTTTTTTCATCTCGTAGGCTGACTATTTATTGCCAAAAGAATAGGCTTGTGATGTGATGCCAAAAAAAACCACTGCCATAATCGCTTCAAAAATGAAAATCCGCCACGAGACCTTGTGCGAGTCACCACACTTGAACTGCTTGTGTTGCATGCATGCTGCAGCCGGCATGGCACACATGTACTGCAGCACCACCATGATCGTGCAAACCCTGTTGTCAGGCTAGCCTGACAGCTATCGCAGACCCATTCATGGACAGTCCAATCGCTGACTCTTTCCGATAACCATGTGACCACAGAAAGTGTTGTCATCAGAAAACCCAAGTGAAAAAAACCCCAAAATTCTGTGTTCTGGCCGGTGCATGCATAGTACTGTACCACATCCATGCATAGTCTTGTAGCTATAGTGTTTCTTTCGTATCGATCTTCACATTTCCTTCCTAATTTTGGCATTGTTAATCTTTCCCATTTATTTTTTGGTAGTGTGTGTGTTCGTTATTTTAAGACAAAATTTTTTACTTTTTTCAACACAAACATCTAACCTTCTTATAATGAGAATAAGTTTGGAATGATCATGCGACATACAGACATATTCTTTTTGACAAAAGTTTTAGAACCTAGCCGGAAAGTACAAACAATGGTAGGGGCCCAGGTGAAAAGTTGATTTTCAAGTAGGCGTGCCTGTTTTTGTATACCCGTATGTATACGTAGCATAATCATACATTTTAAGTTAAAACCCCAAGAATCTATTCAGAGTGAAGTTTTTCAAATTGAAATGAAAACCAAAGTGAAGGCTTATTAAGCTAGTTATATTTCATTGATGCACATCCAAACAATTTTGTACCATGGAGCAGATGCCCCTATCCTTTAATTTCATCCTGGCTAAACACCAAGTATAAGCCATGGCTTATATTCCGAAAATTACTGTATTTCCCTTGGCAGAAAACGTACATGTACAGATACATGTAGATGTTGATGTAGTTCCAGACAACAATCAGATGCAGCCGTTAAACAGTCCCCGCCAACAAGGGGATGCTTATTCCAAGGATGAAAATATTTTGAATGATAAAATAATGACTGAATTATATTTCATATTTTTCATTCAATATATTACATGTAGATATTAATTTGTATTTTAGCTGATGCTCTTTTGATACCTTTACCTGGGAAAGTGTAATCAATTTGGTGCAGTAAACCTGAATGAAGACATTCTAGTCAAGTACTTGTCCCTCCTAAAACTGTGTTCAAATAATGACACTACATGTACAATCCGGGCACTTCAAAGGGTGCCTCCATATGTTTGTAATAATGCCTTTTTACCCCACTCGCTGCGCAATCCTGCCCTCCCCCCACCCCCAGCAATCTGTTAATAAAATTACATTTAACTTGACATCTCAAGATGGATTTCTGCAGCTTTTCGGCACGTCATTCCAACAAGCCCTATCCATGTACATATGATACGATTGGTATATTACATGTGTGGAGTCAGTTATAAAAAAGGAGAAAAACCCTGGCAACCTTCCAAAATGAAAACATGTTAACCTGTACTTGTTGGTCAGGCTTAACTTCTAATTGAGTTATTGATCAGCTACATGTACATATAAATGTTGACTCAATTTTCTGTGTACATGTGTTCAATCACTACTGTTCACATGCATGTCTCATAAAACATGTAATGTGTGGAGACCATTCAAAGACAGTGTGGAAAGTACAGGTACAGTCGATCGGTAATACGTGCTCGGTTAAGACAAGACTCCGGTTTAGACGAGCATACATGTATTTTACTAGTCCTGACTCAATTGTGCATATTCCTATGAGGGAAAAACATGCACAATACAAGCTCTCCTGGTGTGATTTGCACACCAGCCGAGTGCAAATCTATTGTTATCTTTTTATTTAGTATGTGCTTGTTTAAAGGCAACTTGTCAATCAGCCAGTCCATTCCATTTTGAAAGGTGCTTCCATAATTTATTCATGTACAGTAGTCACTGTAGTACAGCGCTGCAGATTTTTCTCACTGGGTCAAGCTGTTTGGGTCCATTGCCGCAAGAGAGACGAAGAATGGGTGTTTTCGGTTCCCGCACCCAACATAGAAATGTTTTGTAGTGGCTCTTGTGCCACCTGAACACAAGTGTGTCACCAAAGCTCTACAATACTTAGGACATTGGTGATTCCCCAGCCCCCCAAAAATTCCCCAAGACCAAAGTCCCCTAGGAAACAAATGAAATTGTGTTCTGTAACCAAACACCCCACCAGAAAAAATGTCCACACCCACTGAAATATTGTTACCTGCTCTCCACTGTAACAAGAAATATATCGCCTCATCTGAGTTTTAAATTTCTGTAAATTTTTAGTTTAATTAAGAAAATCATGACTAAACCTTGGTTTTCAGTCCAAACATCCACAAATGTTAAACAAAAAGTGCATCCCTCGCTAATAATTTTTACCAAACCCACATGTCTTTTCAATTTGAAATCCGATATTCGCCCTCTACTGTGACACAGTTAGAAACAAGGCATGTCTGCTTGGGTCTGTGCCCTAGTTACTGGGAGTCCAGTGACTGTAATGTTGGGTCCTTATTGACGACTTTGTTCACCACAGAAAGTCAATAAAGAACAGCTTGAAGGAAAGTGTACCAGTATGCCTGGCCTTACTCTCAGTCATGCATATTAATCCACTCATTCAGCTGCCTTCCTTGTGAACCACTTTTAAATATTCATTCCTGAGTGAATAATTAAGTATTTCCCTTCTTTTAATACATTTCACTCTGAATTTTCAATTTTGAAAATAAATACTCAAATATTTGATAATTGATCTAATATTCACAACGTCCACACAACCCTGCATTGTGCTCGAATTTCATTTCTATGTTTTTTTTTTAGTACAGACTGTAAAGCTAAATGTACATGAATACCTGTATGACATTACATGTTGATAAACTTGACCAAGGACATTGTTGTGAAGAATTATCCGAAAGCTTCAGTATCATATTAATATAAATCTTAATGTGATGTGTATGAAGTACATGTGCATCTGAAATGACAAATGCCAACATTTACTTGCATAGAACATTATCTGTATTGCCCACATCTCTTCTTCCATTCCTTCTTAGTACCCCAGGACCATTATGTGTTGAGCAACAGGTCTCATGTGTACACGGGATTGAAGCAATATGAGGAAGCACTTAAGGATGCGGAGGCCGTGTGCGGACTCCGACCAGACTGGTCAAAGGTAGGAGAAATAATTGATGGCTTGCATTGAGCACCTGTGTAAACGAGGGCACCCAGGCCATTGCAAAGCTGTTAAAATATGTACATGGAACTCACATGTACATGTTGACAAAGTTCAGTAGCCTGTTATGGTTTATCAGACACAGTTATTTTTGTTTGTCTTGGCTCTTGAAGTTTAATAGGCTGAAACCTTGTCATATTCATGTAAAGGTTTGTCAATTTATGCTGTCTGAGGCTTATGCTGTGTATTTGGCCTGACACACATTTTATTCTCATAGTGAATTTTTACATTTGTTGTGTAAATTTGAAGAACTGTGTTCATACATGTAATAATCAACCTGGCTCATGAAAAGTAGCAAATTACTTGTGTATGAGCATGCGGGCCTGGACTAAAACCCTTTTTTTACTTGCCCACCGGGCAAGTTAACTTATCTGGTCACTAGCCTGTGGGAATTTTCACAAGCCCATTGGACATTGTTAAGCAAAACTAACTTCCATATGTGTATACTGGGTCTTTTCAACTTTATTTTTTGTTTACTTATTACTGTGGCGCCATGCTGTCAATTCTCAAACTTAAAATTGGAGGATTCAACGATGGGAAGAACTAGTTTTTTCCTTTCTCACCAAGAGTGGTCTCATTTCCAGGGTTATTATCGCAAGGGCATGGCCCTGACAGGTCTGCAGCAGCAGGAAGAAGCCATGGTGGCATTTCTACAGAGCTTAATTCTAGACCCTTATTCATCATCGTCAAGAAAAAGCCTGGAAAAGGTAATGATTCCCAGCCCCTTGCCCTTTTTGAATTATTTCTTCATTCTTGTCATCTCTAATGAAGATAAGCTCTGATCAGTGGACAGCACTGCGTTTCATGGAGGCCCTTATACTTACAAGGAATAGAAGGGTGCTTAGGGCAGCCGCTGGTCGGTCCACATCTGTAGAGAGATGTCAGTGAGAAGCAGTTACAGTTTTAGAGGTGGGACAAAAACCCCAGGAGAATTCTCTGGGTAAAACCCATGGAATTAGGTAGGGATTGAACCTAATCTACACATGAACTTAGCTGGGAATCAAACCCGGGCTGCAGAAGTGAAAGGCAAGGGAAAATGATTATGCCAACCTCACTCCCCTCCCATTTTGATGTTCCTTATTTCAATAGTTTGTTCAACCTCTCGGAAATGTGTCAACTAATGTCAGACTTCCACTGTCAAGGGAAAAGTTTCTTGACTTCTTAGTTTATTCACTTGCACCCAATAGTACTCCAATGGGTTTCCACCTGTTATCTCACTCATACAGGTTATAACCCTAACCCACGAGAGCCTGTTTGCTGGGGCACATTCTCAATCCTCCAAAATCCTCCGATTGCCTAACTTCAAAAACTGCATTTATCCGCAATCCTGCAAAAGCGGCAATTTTTTTTTTTGCAATTTTGCAAATCCTCAATCCTCAAAAAATCTTCCAACTCATAAAACCTTCTGGGGGAAGGGGGGAGGGGATGGCACATACTTTGAAATAACTGTACAACAGCCATATGTCCATATTGTGATAGAATGATCCACTTTCTTTGTAATAAACAAAGCAGACATGGGCCTTTGTTGTTACACATTGCAGTTGAGGGATTGTGTAACTTATGTCCAGCAGTAGCGAACAATGAACATACTCTCCTTGGATTCATGTATATTGTAAACAGTATAATATGTGACCATATGCACCACTACATGACTGATTTTTTGTACTTCATTCACCATTCATCCTCAATCGTCCAAACTCCTCCAGTGCTCAAATTATCATTCATCCTGAATTCTCCCAAATCCTCTGAAACTACCCAGAGGATTTGGAGGATTGAGGTGGGTTAGGGTTAAGCACCAACTATGAATAAACCATTGGTCAATATCTTCTTATTTGTGCAGTGCTGTTCCATGGGAATGATGCACTATCTAACTTGAATAATCTCAATGATCTAGTTGTTACCTTTGTCACTACTCTAACAGGTGGTGTCAGCTCACACAATTCTTCTCAGGAACCGCCCTGCATGTACTTTTACAAGTACTCAATTACTAATAACACGAACCAGCAGTGCAACAGTGCTGCGTGGTCTGGTTTCAGAGAGGGTTTGAATTGAATTGAAGTAGAACTGTGGTTGACTGTACTTGTACATGTACATGTAGTTGATTCTCCCAGTTCCAAGATACCGCTACAGTAGTCGGATTAAATTTGTAATCTTTCTAGACCACTCACTGTAGCCTTTAACAACATGGGACAAATGATGATTTTCGTTTACAGGTGTATGTATTACATACATGTTAGGTGCGAAACAATGCAGCGTGTACATGTTTACAAAATAGTAGGTTCATTATTACTTTTGTTAACGTGTGGGTCTTCTAACAAGTCTTGGTTCATAAATTTCACAAGGTTTTCTTGTAAAATGAATTTGACACCTGGCCTCTGAGAAAAATCAATTGATGAACTATAACAATCAGGCTTATTCTGTTTCCCATAAGGTCCTGCACGATCTCCTCTCCCCAGTGCAGCCAGCCACCATCAAGTGCCTGGAGCTGCAAAGGGGTTACCCAAGGCCTCTGCGATCAGGGGCCTCGGCAGGGCCGGGGCTGTTTGCCCGGGGGATCTCGGACCTAGCTGAGGAGGTGGCACTGGGGCTCAAGGCAGTCAATCAGCTGTTTGTTGATTGTCCGACCGAGGTATGGTGAAACCATTTTCTTTTTGCAGACATTAACTGATTGAATGTATCTCAATGGGGAAGCCAACACATTGCTGTAACATTTAAACAGTATAACACTGATAGCTTGTTGGTTTACCTAGAGGTAAATGTGTAGCGTGTCGGAGCCTGTTGGTCTTGTATTGGGGAAAGACTGTCTAGGGAACACAGTATGGTTTCCTTACATCTCTCCTCTGTTAGACCAAATGAATACTCCTCAGTGTGAGTAAGTCATGTACAGGATATCCTAAACAATAAAAAAAGCAGCATTTAGATAACCTTATGGAATAGAGCTGATCTTTCTACAGTGGCCTGATTAGCAGGGGTATTAATGATGTAGCATTAATTACATTTGATAGACGTGCTGACGTAAGTAATACACATTCATTATTTTGCATAGGAGTCAATGTCATGGCTAAAAACAATTTTGGTTGTCCTCAAACAGGAAACTAAAGAAAAGTTCCCAGATGGTGGAAAAAAAGATGCTGCAAGTATCAGTAAAATAGGAGGGGCTGGAACAGAGTCTAAGTTGAACACAAAAACTGGAGTCTGTACATCCGAGAATACACGTGCACCTTCTGCTGAAGTCACACCCACATTTGAAGCAGGGACCACTCCCACTTTGGAAGCCAAGCTGACACCTGGCTCCACATCTAAATCAGAAGCTGTGGCCTCACCTGGATCTCTGCATGCACCAAAAGGTGCGCCTACCTCAGGATCCACACTTGCTTCAGAAGCCACGTCCACTCTTGAATCCACGCCCCCATCTGTGGCCACGCCCCCACTGGATGTCTCCCCCACCCGGCAGTCTCCCTCTCATCGGAAACCAGGAGAGTCTGCGTGCTCTTGGAACAGAGGGGAAATGTCAGCGTCGGAGTTCCTGACAATGCGCAAACGCAAGCGATGCGTGTCCGGCAGTGACACCATCATGAGTCCCATCCGAAAAGTAGAATTCAAGTTTGCCCGTGAGTATGGTCTGAACCTCTCTGACTAGTGTCCGACGATGTAGAACCTAGGCAATAGAAAAAAAGGTTCCCATGTCTATTAAGATGCCATGGATGCAAGGAGTTCAAATTTTACTTTTCCCATCCAGTTTTGCACAGAGTCCTATGCAACTTTGCATCAACAGAATGTATATTACTTCTAGTCTGTAGCACCCCCCTTCTCCCAAAAGAGTTAATGTTACGGGGCCCAAAGTGATGAAAATGGGAACATCCCCAAGTCTGACTTGTAGAAACATACTCCTTGTGTCTGAATGCTCACAGTTCAGAATAATTAGCTCTAAGTGTGTTGCGTTTTATACATAACAAAATTAAGTATGCTGAAAGGATGTAGGTTGAGTCTATACCTTTTCCCTCTCAGAAAAAATTGTGAATGTTTTTTTGCTAATTTTTTTTTGTCAGGTGTGGACGTGGTACGACAAACAAGGGCAGTCCCCAAGGAAAAAATAGACAAGGAAGACTACGAGTGCAGCTTGTGTTTCAGGTGGGTCAAATGAGGAGAAAAGGAATGAACCTCCTAAGGATGGCATCTTTGCAAACAGTGTTATATGTTGCACCTGCACAGCCCTGTTTCCGCTGCATCAGTGCAACTATCTTCCTGTGTTGTATCTTGTAGCTCACTTTGTTGCGTCAGTGTTGATACTCTGTCTTATAACAACATTTTGTGGTGTCGGTGCAACCTAATGGAAATACACAGATTCGAAAATGTACATGCCTCCATGGACATGGTACGCTTCCTGAAATGCCTTTGCCCGTCATGTTACATCAGGTGAAAAACCTCTTTACATAAGACATGCTTGTTTTTGACCCTTTTTGTAGATTGTTTTTGGAGCCACTGACTACACCTTGCGGTCACACCTTCTGCAAGGTCTGCCTGAACCGTTCTCTGGACTACAACAACTTGTGCCCGCTATGCAAGGACTCCCTGGCAGAGGTGATTGCAGTGAACTGATATAAATCCTAAGTTGGCTGCCTGCACACCCTGGAATTGTTTAGGCTGCCTTGTGTTATACACATCAGGGCTACGTCATACAAAGCCTTTTTTAAATCTGAGCTGTGTTGGGACCAAGAATGTTAAGTCACAGAACCTGAGATGAGGAATATCCTTCTTGCATCACAGGCCGGCCATTGGTATGAGTGTCTTGATGAAAGTATGGTCATTTATTTGTCTCTTTGCAGTATCTGGCCCAACGTAACAACACCGTATGTGAGGTGGTGCTGCATCTCTTGCAGAAATACCTGGGGGAGGAGTATCAGGAGCGGGAAGAACAGCACACAAAGGAGATGGAGGCGATGGCAAGGTAGGTGAAGTCATTCCCACAGCTGCCGCCCTTCCCTCTCATTGTCAGTTTTCATCCAGCATTTGGAAATTCGAGGGAAGGCATGATATCTGTGTCTTAATAAGTGAATACATTTTTTAAACGTCTACTCTTTTAGGTTTCCTCTGAAATACTTGCATTAAATCTGTATATTTGCATACCTGCCAACTAGTACAATTTTGGCATATTTTGTATGAGAAATTGCTGAAAATACGACCGTACGTTTTTATTACCATAAAAAACGGATTTCGGTAATTTTGACACAGAAAAAAAGAGGGTGCTGTGTGAAATCTAAGCTAAAATAGCTAAAGCGGCTGCGAGCAAGACTAGCCACATGTCATGCGGTTTGTTACACGAACTTGTAAAGTAGAGCGTTGGTGATAGGTGTGCGCAGTGTACACATGCCCCTGGTAGCAGACACATCAACCAGTTGGAATGTCGCATACCAAACCGATTTGCATGCATTGCGGAGTGTACGGTCGTGTGCATGCAAAAAATTTTTCCCGACATAATCGTAAAACTGCGTGAATGAAGATGGCTTCAACTTCTAAAAAAGACACCAAAAAACAGAAGCGATCTTTCAAAAGGGAATATACAGAGAAATTTGAATTCGTATTACCTTCCCAGAGAGGTTAACATTACGCTCGTTGCACTTTGTGTAGTTCTGACTTCAGTATCGCGCATTGTGGGAATTATGATGTATCTCACTACATCAAAAGCAGTAAACACCGCGACATCGCTGAAAGGAAGAATGCGACCCACAGCATCAGAAAGTTCAAGTCTTCTGAAGATTTAAGCACCATCAGAGCCAAGACCCTTTGGACAGATTGCGAATCTGCCATTTGCGTTGTCGGATGATTTCACGGACATAGAAAAGACGATATTTCCAGACAGCAAAATTGCATCCCAGTTTCCTTGTCGTAGGACAAAAACTACCGCTAATTGCACAAACCATGCGTATTAAAGTTCAAATAGTATGTAGTCACACAAAAGTACTTGTAAGCTTGTCTTTCCTGTTTGTTTAGGAAAAAACACATTTTTATTGAAAAATACACATTTTGGAACCTCTGAATACCCTTTTGCCATTCCAAAGGTTGGCAGGTCTGTATTTGTTTCATGTATTGAATGACAAGATCAAACATAATTGTTCTGGAGTGTAAATAATTTCACCACCAAGATGTGATTGCTCACCGAGGAGAGCAGTGATGTATTGCTCACTTGAAAAGCCAACTTCCAAATCATTTCACTGGCAGGTACGTGAATGACCAAATGCAGTGCGAGGTTCCCATCTTTGTCTGCACATTGGCATTTCCCACAATTCCCTGCCCGCTGCACATCTTTGAGCCTCGCTATCGGCTGATGATTCGGCAGACGATGGATTCGGGAGCTCGACAATTTGGCATGTGCCTTCCTGATGACAGCAATCCAGAGGGGTAGGTTGCGTTGTCATCCGAAATCTTGTAAATAATAAGATCATACCTATAAGCAGCACACTAAATCTCCTTTTAGTTGCGAGACTTTTTTTTTTATCTCTCAAATGAAATGGGCAGTTGGCACATACGTTTACATGCAGTCATTTTTCGTTGTTGATGCGAAATCCCACTTGCATCCCTAATTAAGAAGCATCAAAGTTAATCTTCAATACCAGTGTGAATTTGACATCATGCTGCTTTCACAGTGAGTAGAAGAAATGCCCAAATCCACACTGAGTAGTATTTGTGAGGCATCTAGCCAGGCAAGAAATTCTAAACTCTAACCACTTTAGACTTTGTTCCTCGGACATTGGAAAAGGTATTTGATGGAGTGAGATTGACATAAAGTTGTTGTTCATTGTAGTTGTAATTTGAATTTAACATTTTGGAGGTAACTCTTTCAAACTGCTCAGGCATGAGGACATTGGCTGCATGCTGGAGATCCAGGATGTGGAGCATCTGCCCGACGGCAGGTCCATCATCAAGACCATCGGTGGTCGTCGCTTCAAGGTACTGTCCAGAGGAATGCGGGATGGCTACAACACAGCCATGGTGGAGTTCATCAAAGATGTGGAGGTGACAGGTAGGATGCTCTTCAGTGTTCGCTGTTGAGACCGTCACAGGACCAGTCACACGTAATTAGGCGAATAGTGACAAAGGGATCCCTCTGTTGCAGTTAACTTGAAAAGTTTGGTCATGTCAGGGTCTCTTGGGGTCAAGTCACAGGTCTTAAAGTGTCCGCAACGTCAAGTTTGATGCTGTTAGCATGATGGCTGAGTTTGAAGATGTGTACATTTTGAACTCGGTGGAAAGGAGTGTCAAGTAGTTGGGTTCGTTGTCACATGATGTTTTGGGAACTTGAAAATGGTCGTTAATCCATGACAAGCAGTGACGTAATTGTTCTTGATCAACCTACCCCAACCCCCATTACTTTGTTTTCAGGTGATGAGGTTGCCGTGGTGACAGCTCTTGAGATGGAAGTTTACCAGCAGGCCCAGTCCTGGTTCAATTCACTGCCAATCTTTCACCAGACCCGTATCATTGCCCACTTTGGCCCCACCCCAGCAAGAGAGGATAACCCTCTGGTAAGTGAAAAAAAATATATATAAAGGATTTTAGAGGTGTACAAGCTCTTTGCGGTGTAGTACTTTTTTTACTACAGCCCTCCAAAATACATTTTTGTTCTTTAACTTTATTTTCAATTTTGGTTTGCCATTTTAACAGGTATTTTACTGCTGCTATGGTTTTTATGCTAATGCTTATTGCCATTCATTAGCAAAAAGAAAGAAGGCCTCAAAAGGCAATAATCACATTATCAGAGCTAAATGTAAGAATGTGTATTTATCCCTCGGCTATTCAAAGCCCTGAAGGTCCCACAATGAGCCAGCATGCCCAAAATAAATCCTAGCTGAGGTCATTTGGATGTGTGTGTGTGCAAGGGCTGCCCTATCAACACAACCCTTCACACACTCACGAGTGTGCTTTGTACCTGTATGACTGTGCTGTTTTGAAATAGTGAACTGGGGTTTCATGATTACTTTTCAGCCCCAATCTGACCTTGTTTTTTGGATTTTAAGTGAAGACTCTCCTTTTTCACCATCCCCTTGACTCCCTCCTCTCCCCCTCTAGGCTTGTCCCCAGGGGCCGTCTTGGACCTGGTGGCTGTTAGCTATACTTCCCCTCAGCAAACGCATCCAGCTGACTATACTGGCCAAGCCCAGCCTCAAAGACCGTCTCAACGCCCTCCAACGGTGCCTTGTCCGCATATCCGGCTTCCAGTTCTGACTAGGGGACAGCGTCATTGTCAGCCTAGCCAGCAGCTCGGATGTCGGGTCCTGAATTCTTCTTGTGCTTTGTACTTGGAATGTAAATATTTTAGGATAACACTAACACTAAACCTAACTCGAGTGTCAAAAAAAGCTGTAAGACGTATATGAAACCAATTTTTTCTTTCAGTGGCAACCCAAATTTTAAGCCTCTTAAACCACCGTTTTTGTGGCATATCTGTCCTGGATTTTTGTGTGTATTTTGAGTGAACGTTATTCAAATTGATTCTCAATAAGTGTGATTTTGGGTCGTCAGAAAGGCAAAGAATGACAATTTTGTTGGTTTTTATGTTGATCAGTGATATTCAGTTCTCCAAAGAATTTTGAATTAACAAACCAGCCAGGAATGCCCTTTTTTCAATCTTGTGCTGTCTTTAAGTTAATATAAATCCAGTTGAGATGTTCTTTGATCTCTAGTATTAGTAATTGTGAGTTGAAAAATAATCAGTAACCATTATTACCTCATTTCTCAGTAGGTTACTGAGCATTAGACAGGAGGTTATCTATAGATATCACATTTAGAGTTCAATTAGAAAAATAAAACGATTGATGGATTGTAAATTGTAGTTTGTACGTAAGGTCTATTATGACAAAGTATTAACCCTAACTGTCCCAAATCTTCCTATTTCAATATTTTTTACATGCACCTTAGGAGGTTAGGGTTAAAGGTGGATACTTTAAACTGAAAAATCATCTGTTTTGGGTCTCTGGCATGAAGATCTTGCATACCGTTGTAACCAAACTTTGTAACAGTGGCCTAATTCTGGACTCAGTGGAGGCCTATTTTATCCAATTGTTGTAGGGGTATAAAAGCAAATTTAATTTCACTTTTGTTGTACCACTTGGTTACAGGAATTTCACTGTGCTGTATTTTTATTATTTATGAAATCAAACCAAATTACTGAAAATGTAGCATTACTGCACTAAAATTAAAAAATACATGTAATCAACATCCTCAACTATATTGAAGTTGCCTCGCTGCATCACATGTTTAAAAAGAATGAAAAGTAAACTTTATAGAAGGTTGCACATATTCATATCAGGTTTGATTTACATTTGAAAATGATTTACAATGAAATGAAATTTGGAATTAAACCCTTTTTTTAATCGTCAAATTTCTTGTAGATATGAGCAGGCACAGGTACATGTAGTTGTTTTGTGATACATTGTAATTTTTGTCTCAAACCTTTCTTCATTTTGTGTATTTTCTATTACTGTCAAAGCAATACATGTATAGTGTAATGTTTTAAGCTGACTTGGCCTTAAAAAGAAAAGGTAACATGGGGAGATAGGAGAGGAAGTGATTCCGTTGGAAAGGAAGTGATTCCGTTGGAAAGGAAGTGATTCCGTTGTTGTATCATAAGATCTGACCTAATTGCCTTTATTCTGAACTCATGATGTACAGCCGTAGTTAGCATTATAAGTGCATCAGAAAGGTGATCAATGAAAAACGGAAGAGCTAGGCCCACATGATTTTACAGAAATACATAAACTACTGTTGGCTGTCTGCCAACTTGTCAGATTGTCCCAGTCACTTTTCAGTAAATATAAACATGGGCGCAGATCCCATCACTTTGAAGAAGCAAAATTATTTCAATACACAGTTGTTTCCTTTTTCCCCGCCCACGTATTGTTAAATCCTCATTAACAACACATAAATGCAGGCCTCAAAGTTAAAGTGGGCGCGACCAAGATTAGTTCTTAGTCTAAATACCAGCTGCAGAGCAAGGAATGTGTTTCCAGTGAAATTGCTAAAAAAAAAAAATTCATCACGTTTATGTGTACATTATTTGCTTTTCTGGAGGTATTTGATGGGAAAGCTTGTGTTTGGGTATTTTGATGCATGCTCAGGCTAGTCACCATGAACAAAGCAATTTTCCCCTCTCAGAAGTTGGATGTAGAAACGAGTGTCATCTACGAGTGTATTTTGTATATACATGTTGATAGAGATGGATTTTTGTTTTCTTCCAGCTGGGAGAATTGCAAAACTTGATCCCCCACAGGATAAAAAAAGGCTACTTATGCGGAATAAATTCTGGTTTGAACAACACCTTTTAAACTTAAAGTGAATGTAGATGGTTTAGTTCATTGCACCAAAAAGGCTGCTGTCTAAGTTTTGTCTTCTAACAAAATCGGTTTGCTGTCGTGAAACGTACATTTCTTTTAGGAAATCCAAGCTTTCCAGTGAATTTGTCACATTGCAGACTCGAAAACAAACATCCAGACTTTCAATTCATGAACAGGCTGAATTACATTTTAAGGTATGACAAAAGGAGTCCACATTTTCACATTCAACAAATGTGATTATCAGTAAGATTTAAGTGATACAGCAGACTACACTGCAGCTGGAAGAAGCTTATTTGAATATACAGTTATCAGTTATAATGCAAAGCAGCTAAATGTGCAATGTACATGTAAATACATGTATGTAGCACAGAAGCTCCAACCTTCTACATGCACATGTATATTTGAATCTTGACCAGTTGTCCATTTGCCAGAACTAGTTCACTAATTTAAACATTCAAAAACATCCTTTTTAGAAGAAAATTGAAAATCATAAACAAACATTTCTCTTCCATTGCACATATCTTTTCATGACATTCTCACTTGTATTCATCAATGTACATGTACATATTTAAAGTGGCTTTGAACTCAGATAATTTTTTTGAAATCTCATTATCCACTTAATACTGCTGCAGTATTGTACAATCATTCCATTGGCAGTAGAGGGTTTAAAAATGGTTCTGAAAAAAATGAGGCACTAAACTAATATGGTTGACCAATTTAGCCCTGGGCAGCACGGTAACTTTGTTTTGTTACAGTTGACAATTGTTCAGAACTCAGAAGTGGTGTCTTCAAAATAATTGTCAAGGTGTCCATGAGGGGCAGTGTATGTTTGTGATCAAGTGAAATTGAATGCAAGTTTGTCTTGGGAAAAAAATGAAGTGCTGGTCAGTGAAGATGTATTTCAGGACAGCAACTTCAAGGAGTGGTTCAAATTAAGGGTATCACAGAAGGAATTGGTCTGGGTCATATTTATGATGGAACAAAAAGAATTAACACTCTATGTTGTGTACATTTGATGGGATGAACTTGCAAGTGACATCATATGGCAGATTATGATTTATTATGGAGATGCTCAGTGTCAGTAACTTGTACTTCCAGTTGTGAATGGTTTGGCCCATAGCAGTTTATATCCAGGGGAGAATTTGAAGAGTCTGAGATAACAAGGGATGTCTAAGGACCTCAAAGCCAGTTTTGAGCCAGTCAGGGGCATATATACCTATCATCAGAAAATGAGCTTTAAGTTGAAATTTTCGAAAATTGAGATACTGCTTTATTTGAATTAACAGAAGAAGAGCTTTCCAGTGGTATATACATGTAACACTTGAGGTAAAAGTAGGCTGACAATGTGACTTCATTCTAGTGGCGTTGGGTCTTTGTTTCTGTCTCCGTTTCAACATTTCTGACCAGGCAAGAGTAATGCTGTCATCAATATTGGTAAGAAAATGAGAATTTACATATCTGATCCTGCCAAAAATTTGCAATTAAAAGGCAAGACGGGTTGCTCTTTCCAAATATTACGAAACTCAAAAATTGATCTCCCCTTCAATTTCAAGAACCATACAACAGGAAACAGTGGAATGCGACTTACACCTTATTTATTGTGACAGGTCTCACATGGTGGTTAGCAAATTTGAGAATATGTAGACTGCTCAGTGAGGCTGTGAAGGATGACTGTCTGCCCCTTGGGTTTGTAGTTCCTGCCAAAGGAGCATGCTTTGTACTGTTACATAAAACTAGCTAGGCAGAAATCAACATGGTTTCCCTATGATCAGTTTATAACTCTGAATAAACTATTGCTTCCACAAAAATCAAAGTGTTATTGTCTGGACTCTATTCTGTTGTTTATTTTAGTTGTGTTCTATTCCAGTGTGTCAATGAAACTAAAATGTACTTTCCAAAAGGGACAAACTTCCATGCTGCAATAACTCCATCCCCACCCAACCCCCCCCCCCAAAAAAAAAGAAATCACATAAAACTCTCATTACAGCAGGAATTGAAGGACCAGCCAAATTATCTGAACTGTAGAATAAAAAGATGGAAGAAATAAGAATTCAAGAGTTCAGGACCCTCATATTTTCTTCTGGACTTATTTTTTTGCAACAACGGTCTGCTAACTCCCAAGAATTGATTTTTCATAGTAACAAATCATGGAACAGGATTTTGAGTTTCAAATGTTTTCGAGTTATTTTCCAGATATCGTGTACAAGTGGAGTATCACCAACTCACTGGTCATATATTGATGAGGGGCATAAAGTACAAAATTAATGAGGTGTGGTAATAAACATGACATCATACATGTTGACATAATTTTGCAGAGACGGGGAAAGAGGAATACAAGCCAAGAAATTATAAAAGGGACGGGATCAGGACAACGTCGCTTGCCAACTAACAAGGAAAAACTATAAGTCCCATTCTTTCCAACAATCAGTGATATATCCCCTATCCCTCTCAAATATTTCTATCAATAGCCCATAACATAATGTCAAACTGTTTGCATGTACCCTTTTTTACTACAGTGAGGTGGGGCACAATCCAATTATACAGTAAGTGTGTCCCCAAAGGAAAGTGGGCATGTAAACAATGTGGTTCAGGTCTACTTGTGCTTTTATTGATGGAACAATTTGGGCACTCAAAAACAATTGAGGTGGTCATATCCCCTTTTTCTTCATCAGTAAGTCTACCTATTGGTGACACTGTTTTTTTGTAATATGACCACTGCAACAGAAACTTTGCCACCTTGGCTTAGGACAAGTGAAAACGATTTAAAGTTCCATTCATGAAAAGTATAACTAGAGTTAACTTGTGTTCTAAAAACTACTGGATGCTATTGTGTAATTGAATTACTTTCAGCAAGGCTTCAAAGCAAATGAAGGTGCTGAGAGGAAGTGTCAGTGGGAACATACTAGGATGATACGCGCTTATCATGTAATGTCCTTGTAAAGAAATTGGGGGACTGGATGCCTTGCCTGAGAATCCTTGAACAAGATGTCCGCCTCTAATGAGCCCCAAGCTGAACTAAGAGAGGGTACAATGTTCCTAGCAATGGAGGCTCCTTTGGTCAGAAATGCATTTTGTCGGTTCACAAATGAATATGAAATGCAAGCGTCATGGTTGCATTGCTACCAGCAAAATGAACACTCCCGACCAACTTGGCTGTTTTTAACTGATAAGGGGGTGCTTCTGCTCAAGGCAGATAGGATCACCAGTTCAAAGCCAAGGAAGCAGATTTCATGTGATGATACCCGAGTCAACAAATTCCAATTTTACATGATAAATAAACAACTGTGTGTGAAGAATTGCGACAGGTTGTCTTTTGTGATTTTCCACACCTTTATTTAGAAAAAGTCGACTTCTTGAAGTGACCCCTTTATTTAGAAAAATGTCAACTTCTTGAAGTGACAATACAAAATACAGTATACATATAAATGTATGTATGTGAACAAGATCAAAATCCACAACAGGCTGATCCTGAGAAAATTACTACTAAATAAATATTAGTGAGGTGCCTGAATGACGCTATGGAAATCAACAAGAGAAAGAGTGGTCACAGCTCAGCAGGCCCATATTAGGGCAAGGTCAATCAACGATCAATTTTCAACCAATGGTCAATTTTGACTGGTAACCTATGCATACCGCACACCAGGCAAAACCAACCAGTGGTTGACAAACTGTCACTGATCCAACTTGCCTTGAGTGTTCTGTAGGCCCTAAACACCATTAACTAGTATACCCCAAATTTCCATGTAGACACCAGTGATCCACAGGCCATGGGCACCAGTACTGCAGATATAACAAGTCCTCATGTGCTCTACATGTAGGTTAGTGGCAGAGCCTTGCTCTTTTGTGTTTATGTTAAGCTGGAGTAAACTGTGAACCCGCTAGATTGAAGCTTTCCCCAAACGAAATATGTGGAAGTGTTCAAACTTTCCGTTTTTGTAGGAATATTGATGTTTATGTCTTAAGGTACACCTAGGGTATTCTCCGATGATTTTTGTATATGCTTCCCCTAGGAATTTTTCACAGGCCCACTGTCAACTTGGATGATCCTGCCCTAAGGCTCCAAATGACGGACATATGTACATGTACCTGGCCTTGCTCACTGATGAGCAAACTGGAAACTACAAGCCATCTCGTATCATAGTGTTGTAGAGGAGACAGCTTTTAGTGTTGGTTTTCAGAAGACAGGGGAATAATTATGACAACAAACAAAGTGTGATCAACTGCCTGGTAAAGCCTTCACTGTTGTGCTTGTGACATTCTAGCCACTGAACCCATGCATTTCAGCTTGCATCTTTGCATTTAGGTTGCCTTTTTTGACAAGCAGAGAATTCCACAAACTCACAAAAAGATGAAAGGTTAATTTTGCTTTCATCATTATTTTTTAGCTTTTTTCCCCTTTGTGAAACCTGTACATCAGTATCAGAATGGTTTAAGTGAAGAAAACAAAACAGTTGCAAAAAAAACCCTAAAGTTTTTGCCACAAAAATAAAAGCAAATGTTGGTACCAGTAGGTCAAATTATGGTTAAACAGATTAATCTTGGTAGTGTTAACCTGCATAGTTTTTCAGATGACGAATTACTCTTGTGGAACATTTTAGACATCACCAGACTAGATGGGAGAGAAAACAAATAGATATAATATGGAAAAGAACATAATATCAAATCAGCACTCTGAAATATGTGACAATCATATGGCAATCACATATTTCATAACACTGATTTGATATTATATTCTTGTCAATATTCTGATCACAGTGCTACGCCGCCCTTCCATATTTCTTAGAAATAATATGGTACAGTTTTTATGACTTCTAGGATTAAGACAAATAACACTAAGGACAAAAGAAAAATCTCCCTCCATGTGTGAAGAAAGTAGTTCTCTTTTGAAAACCTGTAAATATACAGAAGTATTTTACACTTGAAATTTGTCTTCACAGTGTAAGATTTAGGTTGAATTCGTAATCCTCTTCTGTGCACTGTGCTGAATGTAGCACAATCCAAGAACTTATACAACAGGCTGTGTGCATGAATAAGATTCGGCACTTTGGTTGCCTAGCAACAACTTTCCTTTGAGTCAACACCCCTGGCTGGCAGGATGATAACACGGCATAATTACTTAATGTGTGCATTAAATTGGTGTGGTGAAGGGGCTGCTCCTAAACCCCAGAAACAGTGCACCTTAAACCAATTCTGTAATTTTGCTCCTAAGGCAAAGAGCCAGGAAGAAAGGAAACAAATTACTGTAAATGTCAAGTTACTCTATCTTTAATATGCTTCGTTTCTCCAGTTCCTCCATGTCTTTCAGAACGTATGCCACACTGTACCGCAACTCGTGGAATTTAGACACAGGGACCTGCAAATGGTAGAAAATAGGATATTCAAAATGTGATGTGCAAGAGAGGATTTTCTAAAATTACCAGACCAGACCTGGACAAAGAAATATCAAACAAAGGACACCTGGTGTATTGAAGTTTACAAAAGCTGCATTTACCGGTAGATTGCCAATATTTCTTAGTTTTGCTTTACTTATGCTTGAATGTAACTTGATAGAGACAGTGTGTAGAAGCTGTATGAATAAACAAATTCTAATCCCCCCAGAAAAAAACTTCATGGATGTAGGGTCGGCGTTTCCTACTGGTATATTTCAAACAGTAGAGACTCTGATAATACTCAATACACTGAGTGTACTTTTTTTGTTATGAAATGAATAAAGTGCAAACACCAAGCAGACAAGTCATGTTACACAAACCGTACTTCAGATAGGACATGGAAATCAGTTACTTATAGGGACAAACTGCTGTATGTGCATGCTGCAGTACCAAAACTTATGCAAAATTTATTACATGATGTACAGGTACATGTGAATGGTCAGTGCAGTGTTTAAGAATCTAAGACAAAAATCTCAAAAACACGATCCCTCATGTACATGTAATGCTGTTATACAAATGCACTATATCCAGTCATGTAACATGACTCATGTTACTTAATGGATAACAACCTTGATAGTTCAGTTGACAGGCAACCTCTGAAGTGTAGATTGATTGTGCAGCAAATGTTTGAGTTAAGTCAAAACAGGTAGTCAGCTTTTGAAGGAAATTGGAAGCACACAAAGAGCATTATTCCTTTATGAATTTCGTGGCCATCACAGTGTTGACTGTATTTGTAATTATTTTTCAGAAATCCCATCACATCTGAGTGATCTTTAGCTTTATACATTAACCTTTTATGGCATGCAGAATGAGGGTCTAGGCTTGGGGAAATAAAACAATTGATGCCCAATACAATAGAGCGTTGGGGCTAAATGGGGCATCATTAACTACATCTGACACCCCCCATGGGGGCAGTGTGTAAAGGTTATACAGTGACGGACAACATTAAACTGCTTTTCTGTAATGTTGCCTCTTTTGTGGTTAAATTTGTCGACAATAACAGCACCTTGCTACAGTCACTACAAACAGGGATGCCCCCCTCCACAACACTTCAGGTCACTCAACATTCCAGTAGGGACATACCCCAGTATTGTGGGGTTTCTAATCTGCTGCACTCCCACAACTATGGGGGTCGCAGGAACCCACGTGCGCATGTCATGCTGAACACAAAATGATTACTCAACCGATACAAATGTGTGGAGTGTGGACACACATGAACATGAATTCATTATCTGCTACTTGGGAAACCACTACAAAAATCCACATGGATCACATTAAGAGAAAGAGAGAGAGATGGAAGGAGAGAGAAAGAGACTAACATGTTTGTCACAAGACAAACAGCTGTTTTGGCAATCTTTTTTTCAACGTTCGAATGAATGGAGACTTTAACGATGGTTTTTGTGCCTGCTATCTACCTTAGCTTTCGAGCCATATATAGGAACAGAACTAGCATGTCAGATGACATGACACCTGACATAAGGCTTCCTCATCATGATGTAACAATGTTAAAACCTTACAGACGTACACAAAACAAACACCATTTACGGAACAGAAAAGGTACGTGTACTGTGGGGTGTGAGTGCATACATGTGCAATTATGTGTTTTTTCCACATCTTCTAAATGGGTAAGGGAAGTAGGAATGTGACTTATGCAATAAATGTACAGAACATGGCCCATCTCTTTTCTAAAATTCTTGCTTGTCACCCTTCAGTTTATTTTGCCCTTTGAATTCTCAATGTTAAATAATACATATCATGCTGGTATCACTTTTAAAAACATATTTTATGCGGTTGGTTGTCGTGTGCATACACGTACATGTACACTGGTGTCAATCGTAAAGGATATTTGTGAACAAAATTTCCAAGTATTTGTATCGACAATTTTTTAATGCTTGGTTTTCCAGCTCCTTTACTCTGTCTTGAAGAAAAGAATGACACAAAACAGAACTATAACTCGTCCTGTGCCCGGCAGAAGGGCATAAGCGCTTACGCCTTTTTGCCGGGAAGCATGATCACTGCAAAAAAACTTTTCCTGGAAAAGGATGAAAGTATGCAACCATGTATTTTAATGAACTATGAAGATTTCTTGGGAAAAAGTAAAAAAAAAATACCCAAGTCCTTCAATGAATTGTTCAAAGTTTGCTTTTTGTACAGCCCAGTTTGATTTTGTAGTAAATTATATCCATTATTATTAATTAAAGAGAGTGTGTTTCTTACGCCCTTTTGCCGGGCATATTTTTCTGCTGTGATTATGCTTCCCGGCGAAAGGGCGTAAGTGCGCTTATGCCCTTCTGCCGGGCACCCGACGAACTGTACACGTGCAATGTAAATGCAACTCTGTACAGTGCACTGCATGCTTTTTACTTCAAAACCGTGGTGAACAAGGATCTTGATTTACTTAAGAAAAAGCAAACTTAAAAAAAAAAACAACTCAAGTGAATGGTATCCCTTTATCCAGTCCTTGCTACCCTCCAGGGTTTTGAGCCCTGTCCATCTAAGCTGACATTTTACAACTACACTTTCAAATTCAAACACTTCAATCAGTCACAGTTAAAATACAAATTCATGACTGTACTGACGTAACCTTTTTGCATGTACTGACGTACGTACGGGACTAGATTACATCACAAAGGCCATATGCTTGACATTTCTCCGGTTGTCAATGAATTGAGTAAGTGCCATTATGTACATACACGTACAATCCATTCGGGCGGGTGGATCACTTGTTTTTTTTTCCACACTATCAGAAATTGTGTAACTTGCACTTTGCTGGGAGCATTTTAGAAAGGGGCATGAAAACGAGTGAACTCATTGTGTGGTAAAGGGCAGGGGTTGTGGAAAGGTATAGGTAACTAAATATGAAACAAAAGCCTGCTGCTTAGGTTGTGCATGGCTTGTGTAACAAGTCATTTACATACATGTACATCTATATCTTGATGACAGGTTACACAATGCGCATGACATAAAATCAATGGTAAAGCCCATCAAAGAGGTTTTTTTTTTAATTTTCAGATTAATTTCAGTGCCTGTACACCTGTGAAACGCACAGGCTAATGTTGAGTTCTACAGCACAAAATCATGTACTGTATTATACATGCATGTCTGGAGACAACAATCAGCAACACTAATGGACTACTCTGTAGGAATCTTTGTTGTTCACTGTGTTTTTTAAACTTTGAGAGTATTTACATTTTGAATAAATTCAGCTATTCTACAATAATTTCAACTAACAGCTGGGCTAGAAAGTATAATTCTGACAGAAAACAGCGACACAGACATCAAAATAGCCCCATTTTCCAAGAGTTTTAGCCTAGTTTGTGGGAGAGCATTGTATTCTTGCATGACATCTTTTCTGAATATTTCACAGCTATCCAACACATATATGTATATGGCCACGAAACCAAATCACCCAATTATTTTTTCCTCTTTTCACTAACACCCTACATGCCCTATGCACTGGCTTCACCCACAAGATCATTGGTCCACATTAGCTGAACTCCATTCCAGATGACCTCAGGGCAATGCAGCCTGTGGGCCGAATCAAATCTTTACAAAAAATTTGTTCTCGTGCTTTTTTCAGCTACACATTTCAATTCAGAGGACACAACCTCTACAACATACATGTATATGCAGACAATGGCAAATCATGCTACTTGAGCAGTCACAAGTTCAAAGAATCAGGAAGACAAGTTAAATGAAGGCATTGTTGGTTGTGGGTAGAGGGGCAAGCCTTGTACTGATAACATCAACCCCCCCCACCTACCCAATACTTGGCCTTATTTCTGAACATGGGAATTACAAAATTTGGAGAAGCACTTTCTGACATGAAGCCAGTGAATCACGCTGGGGTCTGACATACACGTGTATGCAGGGTAGCAAGTGTGAGTTTAGAAACCTAAATTTGGCAATTCTCAACTCAATAAACACATTTAGGTTTCTACAGATACTGAAAAAAGTAGAAATTTGATTAAGAACAGCTAACTCCCAGGGTATTAAGTCTCAGTTAGGATACTTGCCAAAAAACCACCCCCTCCAAAAAAAAAACCAACAAAAAACATAATCTTTTCAAACCATATGCGCAAAATGAGATGACTCTGGAGAAAAAGTTTGAGAGTTTTCAAAGTAAAATTTAGACAATATACTTTCTGGGCTCTCTGCCCAATAATACTGTGTTTGTTTTAAGCTAATGACCTATTTATCCATCTCATGTGGAAAGTGTTACAAGGAACATCAACAGTTTCACACCATGGAATAAAGATTAAGTGAATGTGAGCTTACCTCCAAATTGTGAATGCTGCCATTACTGAGCGTTAACTCCATCAAGATGGTTGGTTCCAGAACTCGGTTCAACGCACTGAACAAAATATTCCATTCAAACGAACAGGTCAGTGCATCTGATTAATGTTGAAGACACTGATGAGACTCAAAATAACACCATCAAATATTTTGACACAATTTTGCTGCCCTTAAAGTGAAAATGACTGGCTTCTTCCGTCCCAGCCAGCCTAGTTTAGGCTGGCTTATTTATTTTGAAAATATTTTTGAACTTTGAGAGGCAAGGGTAAGGATGGGATGAGGTAGAATGAGAAAGGGAATCATTTGTTTAGGGACAAAGTAAATCAGGGAGACTACACAACAGTTTTGTAGTTTAATACCATTACCGTTTGGTGGTTAAGAGTGACACCTGGCATTATTACTCAGAAGCTTGGGCATACCCAAAATGTAAAAATGTACATGTACACACAGATTATAACAGGTTGCTTCAATATGAAGCATCAGGCTTCAAACTGAAGCAACCTGAATGAAGTGAACCATAGACAGACAGACTATCTCTGCTCTGTGCAAGAGATCACTTTGAAGCCTACCAATGAGAACACAGCTTAGCAGGACTGGTATCCTGTTCTGCTACTGTATTTAAGATTTCCAAATCGGGGAACCAATCAAGCAGTGAGAGTAGACTCACAGACTTTCCCGATGCGGATGCAATTGGGAGTCAGGTTGGTGCAGCGGTACTTTCCCAACTCCCATGTCTGCAGCCTGGGTTCCAATCCCACCCAGGCCGACGTGTGGATTGAGTTTTTTGGTCCCTACCTAATTATGTGGGTTTCCTGGAATTTTTGTGTGGGATTTTCCTCCCATTTCTAAAACTGAATGTGCCTTCATGACCTTTGCCCCGGGGGCCCCTAGAGAGAACAGTTTTATAACTGATAGGGCTTTTACCCTGGTTAAGGAATGACTAAATGTATAGAAAATAATAACAATTAATAACATTGAACATCAACAAGATACAAGGCATTGGCCCTAGATTGACAGGAATGCTTTTGTTTCTGAACCGGGGGTACACGTAAGAGGATTTTTGCTATGAGCCAGGCTCAAGTATTTGTCAAAAGTGGATCAACCTTTTTTTTTTTGGTTTTACCTTGTGGAAATGCCAACATCTAGCCTCCATCTTAATCTGTCCAGGGTTGGAAGCCTGCTGCGATTTGTGACTAGTGCTGTCTCCAAGGATGATCGCCTGAGTGTGGACAACATTAAGGCTTCTTGTCATTTTATACGTTCATATATTTGCCCAGATCCCAATTTTTTTTAAGCTGACAGACAGTGATCTCTTCATCCAACACGGCTCAAAACTCCTCAGACAGTTTGGCTAAATGCAGCATATGGGTCATTTGAGAAATTAGGTTTTGTCCAAATGTCTTCATCAGACAAGAACTACTTTGGTTCATGTTGGTTGCCAACATCACAATCACAAACGCAGATAACTTTTGCACACAATTTATGTACAAAGGTGCAATTTCAAAGTTTGTAGTAAATTATAATTGTATTGCATGGTCCCTTTAATTAAATGTTGTTGACTTTAGAGCTTCTAAACAAAAACTGCAAGTTTTCAATCAATTTCTGTCCCTAATTTGCTCTCAGGAACAGAAGATGTCAGAACCCTGCAGACAAAACTCTCACTTACTTTGCACCATAAACAGCACTGCTAAAATCTGCCACAAATTCTTTGGGAACTCTGAGAAAAAAAAGACAAAAAGCGTAAAAGGGAACTCACTGGTTTGTGGAAATGTCAGTTAATTAGTTTTGATCGATTAAATCATTAGTTCCCTTCAATTTCTGAATGCAAGCCAGTGCCTGACCAGGACTGAAAACAAGGCAGGCTTCTACTGACAATCTCTGGCATAAGGTTGTATTAGTCAGACTATCTGACAGCTTCTGCAGAGATACTCTGCCAATGAAATGTCTGCAACTGAGAGGCAGCTGCCTGCTGAGGTACACTCTGTTTGGGGATGGAACTATCTGTGCTCCATGGAAAGCTGTAAAAGACTACTCAAGGGCTGAAACAGTGACGACAAAGGGCCGAGCTTATACACCAGGGGCACAGCACCACAACCTCATGGGCTGATCTCAAACTTACACCGGTTGCACCTGTACACTTGTAACGGTAATATTAAGCACAGATCCCCAAAGCACAGCACAGAATAGGATACCCACACACATAGACTTACCTTAACTCCTTCAGGTCCTCCTTGAAGACCTACATGTAAGAGAGAGAAAACAGCACAATACCATTGCTATTTCTGTCTCCTTGAAACACGTGCTTTCCATGATTATCGTCTTGTTATATTCCTCCCCTAAGAGACACTCTTTATTATTTATAGGCCAACATGTACATATGTGACTTCTTTGTGGTTTCTCGTATTTGTACACTATTCGAAGCAAACAAACAAAAAATTCCCGGGGTGGGGTAAAAGAGGTCCCCATTCCTCCTGTAAAGGGTTAATGACTGAAATGTATCGTTGCTAACTATTGTTTATTGTGGTAATAATTCATGCTGAAGAACTACTCAACAAGACGAACACTGCAGAATATTTACAAGCAACATGTACAGCAGTTACTGCACTCAGCTGCACACAAGCAAATGAAAAGTTAAAGATTCAGATGATTAATACCCCCGGAGGCTTTAATGGGAATAGAAAGAGTCAAAATGCTTGTAAATTCTCTGTCACTTTCCACTCAACTGTTTACAGGTATGGGTATGTGTGTGTGTGGGTAATCTGCTGACTTCAGGGATATTTTGCCCACTAAGTCCACTCTAAGACCGACGATTCCAAGCAAATGTGACAGTTTTACTGCAAATGGGATTCCAATCACACATTCAAATCACTAGAATTTTGAATGTGACTGACTGCATGAAACAATATGCAAATGAGTGAGTTAGCTTCCCAGTAATGTCAAGCTCGTATGAGTCTGCAAGACTGCAGTCAGTGTAGTATACAACAGACTCCTAGCAATGGAGCTAGTACATGTACTCTCATATGGCAGACATGTACCTCTGGTTTTAACGATGTGACCGGTATCCTAAGGGCACATCTCAGGAGGGTACAGATGCCGGCAAATACCGTGTTGACCATTTCCAGGGAGAGGTTGTCCTTGGCAAGTGAGGAAAAAGTGCTTTCGGGAACATCGTTGCCCTCAATCAACGACACCGCAGCTGAGAAATAAAAAAAAACACCAAATTTTTGTGAATAAATTGTGATGCCAAACTTGGGAATTCTTTCACAAGGTGAAAATCTTCACATATACAAAGTTGAGATTGAGGTCCAGAGCTGATTACTTTTTCCACATATTCCAATAAAAAGCATTAGTTAAGAAGATCCTTCAATGAAATTTACACTAAAAAATGTGAAAAGAAAAAGAACGTAAATGGGCATGTTTTATTCTTCCAAAATCTGCTAGATGTGATAACTATATCACTATGTACAACAGGAAGATTTGTAAGAGTTCAGAATTTGTATTTAACACTGATAAACATTTTGAGATTTTTAGGGCCTAGCTAGTACACACTTCATAAAGTGGCTTGTCTGTGGATAAAGTGGCGAATCGGTGACGTGGTTGTGGGCAAAGTGTTAGATGGGTGATGGATGTGACTAGTTTTCTAAGGGTCTATCACGCCTGATCAATGGATCCATGCCATTGGTCACTTGTGCTTGGTGCCAATGATCAATTAAGCCATTCAGGCACTACGTCTCTTTACTGATTATGAAAATGAAAGTTTGACTGACGTGGCCATCTGCTCCTAATGTCACACGGTATGCTAGCCTATGTTCATGCTAAAGTCTTTTCCTTCCTAAATCACATCTATGAAGTATCTTTCAGTTTCAACTTTTCATTCATGTTTTTATGGTTTTCGGTAGCCACAGATGTGCTTTCTGAGAAATTACTGTGATTATGACAGCTACAACTTAGTTACAGTGTACACGTACATCCCTTTGTGGTCACTGACGATCGAGGACACGCCCCCTTTTCACGTCTCTGTATAGGGCCATAAAACACAAATAGCGCCCCCTACACAATGAACATCGAGTTGACAACTGATAACCCTAGCTACGTACGTGCGCATGCATGAAATTTGATGTCATCTCATCTTCGAGTTTTGTTACCTTTCAAAAGCTTTCTGAACGTGTCTTTTTCAACATTCTTGAGGCCTTTGACCATCATCTTCACCTCCATAGGCGTGCGCGGCCCGGTAAAGGGAATCCGATCGGATGATCCGATTATCTGTGATCCAGACATTTTGGCAATGCAAAGACAGTCCAGCTTCCCCCAAAGTACTACACTACAATTTAGCCTGCTCGCTAGCTGCCAGCTCTTTAGTCAGATGCTCCGCAACACTCCGTCAGTTAGCTGGAGCTACGTCTGGGACACGATCATATGTTGGCCAACGGTGTACATAAAACAGTCGTATACTAGTTGACACTTAAGCGCATTATAAACGACGGATGTTTGACAAATGAGCCAGTTACACATGCCAACAAGCAGCATGTGTACTGTGTACGCAGGCCTGCGTTTACGTACGTAAAGTGCTAAAGCTGAGTGGAGGGGACGTGTAGACCTTTTAACTTCATTTTTAGGTAAGAATAGATTCATTATTATGTTGGATTACCACTTACTGGACTTAGAACCCAGTTGTTTCTAATAACATGAATAAAAGAGCCTATCATGTTTCTCCCTGTGATGTGTTGGCATGGTTGGGTGGCCTGGCAGTTAGTTACATGCGTTCAGCCTCAGGTCTTGCTGTGCGGGTATAATTTTAATTATTCTTCTTTTATTCACGTGAACACTGTTGTTATCGCAGTTGTAGTAAATAGTATCAATATCAGACTCCATGCTATCCCGGCCCTAGACCTGTAAACGGGGCGCTACATGTACGCACACATGGCATACTCCGTCCTCACTGGACGAAGGAGTATACGTACGGGCATTGCTACCCTCAGGACTGTGGGGTCCGACTTCCGGCCTGCTGCATGCATGGTCATGGAGGCATGGAACATGAACAATATTGCCCATTTATTAAACTGGTTCTGCAAATAACCATGGAGGAGTAAGAATAACCAAAACTGCCCTGTTAGAACAACAAAACAAGTTTAGTTGAGTGGAACCAGTTTCATTTTAGACAGGCCTTGGCCGAGTTAGGTGGTGGAAATCTGTATTTAGTATTAAACAGGTACACTGTCAGTACCAATAGCCACTTATTCATGTTATTCCAACTTCTACTGAGTTCTAACATACATGTACATGCACATGACACTGTATAATTCGTATGTTGAGACCTAGGTAGTAAGAAAACGTACATTTATTTATACATGCACTCGCCTTCAGACTTGCATACATGTACATGTACATACTAAGTTGTCTAGCTTTGTACTTTATTTAGGTAAATACATTTATTAAAATAAATCCTTCAATAATTTCAGCTTACTGTAATTTGAATTATTCTCATACACTTACATGCTTACATGTCGTACAGCAGGGTTTCCCCTGGGGTACTGATGTGTGTCAGGTGGTTCAACAAATTTTGCCCAAATTCTAGTGCCTAAAATAAAAGCGAGTGTTTTTAAAAAAGCCTAGAATAATAAATTCTATAGGCCTAGTCCAGTTGTCCGATTACTCCAAATTTCTCATCTAAAATAAATTGATGTTGTATTCTGTGTCCTCCCTTATCATTCTGAAACATTTAAAACTGATTTTTTTTAAGTACATGTATTTTACTTATTTTGCTTTTTCCTCCCATCTTTGTCTATTTTAAATGTGAGGTAGTAAAATTCAACAGAAAAGCCTGAGATGATCACTAAAATCAGTGAGGTGGGCTGCCACACACTTGAATAGGCAAGGAAAACACTGTCATACAGTGTACCTGTATACTATTGTCACGCCTAATTGTAGCTTATGGATGGTTTGATTAATGCTTGTAGCATATATTTGCTTTTGAGTACAAACTTGTGCCAAATGACAGTTGCCAAACTGTTACAGGAGAATGTACGAAGCTTCAGATTACATGTATGTGATGTTGTGGTTCTGCTGGCTTTCAGTGACATGGGGATAAACAAAGACTAAAGAATCATTTCTAAATGTTTATTGTCAATAACAAAAGAATTAAAATACTCCATCACAGACTTGGCTTCAGTAGTGGCAGCATGATTTTCAAAGTGGGGGTTGTGTGGTTGTGAAACCATCAAGCATCAGCCATTAATAAACCAATCCACTAAGACCCACTCCTGCCAAAAGTCCAAAAACTAAGGGGGCCCATCCCTTTACCACTTGACATAAACAGGGTCTTTCTGTTTGATGGTTGCAAAGAGCCTTCACTGTGAGGGAATTGAATTTATAAATACATACATGTATTTACCATGGTACTTTCGGGGAATCGGATGCAAATTTTCCATTAAGCCTTCCAAAATGGTTTTTCTCCTCTGGCTGTAAATTTCGAGTTACTTTTCAGGTGTTATGGCCAAAATGCTACACGCACCATTAAAATAAAATGTGACAATTTCCCCAAATCTGCATTAATAGTTTTCCACATTCCCAGAATTTTATGCTGTAAAGAATTTCAATTTTCTTAAATTGTCTAAAATTTGGGTTCTGAGAAATATCATTTCTAAAATTCTGTCTCCATTCTTTAACAAAGGCTTGGATAGTCTGCCAATTAAATTAATAAGGTTTTTCTTCTCTGCTGTTGGTTTCTTTATACAAAGTAAAGGATTTTTAGAAGATCAGGGAGAGTTCTTTCCAAATACTGACAAGAATATAATATAAAATCAGTGCTCTGGAACATGTGATTGCCCAGCTTTTGGTAACTGAGTACCTTCTTCAGGGCAAGCAGTTGTTGAACCTGCTTGCCCTGAAGAAGGTACTCAGTTACCGAAAGCTCGGCAATCACATATTCCAGAGCACTGAATTTATATTATATTCTTATCAATATTCTGATCACAGTGCAATGCAGCCCTTCCATATTTCCCAGAGTTCTTTCCAATATTCCGATGGGGAGTTACAATGAATCAAGTGTGCAGGGTTTCATGCATAGGTATCCCTAACAGTCCCAAATCCTACTTTTTCAATATGATTTTACATATACCCTAGGGGTTAGGGGTAAAAACGTATGGGGTGAAAACTGCCCAAATGCAAATCTTCTCCAAACCAAAGTTCAAAGTCAGCAAGTGGGAAATGGGAAAGTTTTTGTGGACCTGTGCTTCTTGTTTTTAGATTTTGCTGGCACTGCACCTTTTCTGGTTTGAACCTGATATAACTTTGTGTCACCTGAGCTGTCCAGGAATGGACCTTATTATGAGATGACCTTATTGAAATTGAAAGCAAGGTTTGTTTTTAATTTTTTTTTAATCAAGGGCATCATTGGTAGAATAAAGTGGAATTACCTGGCAAATTATCACCTGTCCACTCTGATGAATAAATTAATTCACATTTGTGATGAAACGGACCTTAGTCTTTTATGCCAGGTTTTGAGAAAAAAATTCAAAGGAAAATTGGACAACAGGAATCCTAAGAATAGTCAGAGACCATTCCATCAATTAGTTGATATTTTGTAAAAAAAGAAAAAAAGATTCAAGGAACAAGATAAAACATGGCTTCCTTGGGAATACTGTCCGTTGATGAGTTTACCTCATAGAAGTGTACACACATGTGTGTATTTTTGTTGTGTTCTCCCCTGTCCTCTTGATCTGCTGGGTTTATTGGTTCATTTCATAGGAGGAAATCGCAGGCTGGGTGTCCGGTGCCAATCTGTTTGTGGAGGGGGGATTCCCCCAGTCTTGATCCCTTGGGAATTTCTTCCTGCTTGTTGTGGCTGTGTGGTGTTTACTTCCCTGCCATCCACTTGTTGGTCTCATGACCGTCTGTGTGGAGCCAATTTTCTCAAGGAAGCAGAGAGGCTTCCTTGTTTTTGACCAGCATCCAAAACACAGAGACAAGATTAACCCTAACTTCCTCAAAGACTGGCATTTTTGTCTACCGCTGTAGGAAAGTAGTGGTACATTCATTACACATTCATGTACACACACACTTACCTTACATACCTACTGTGGACATTCCTAGCTTTTCGTGCAGTTAAGAAAACTCAGTGAAAATACTCATTTTTCTTGAACTGGGAACACAATTTTCAGCTGGCTTTTTGTACAAGGTTTCCTTGACTATTCCTCTCCCTTTTACAACAGATGACCCCCTTCCCCCAAATGCCTCTAAACCTTTTTTCAGAGAAGGGGAAATGTCCTGTGGGCATGTGTGAGTCCACGGAACGTCTTCCTTTCCTGCGTCGTGTGGACATCTTTTGTTCACAAGTCCACAATAAGTATGTAGGGTTAGCACATCACAGATCACAAGTGAAGTATGGAGACTGAAAGAACATAAAACTGACTGCTGTATGCTGTGCTGTACTGGTGTTTTACAGGTCTCTGAGGCAGTGGAATATTGCAAAATATATGCCCTCAAGCTGCATCCACTGCTCGCCCTCATCGGTCTCTGGCTTCATGTATTAAAGTGTTAAAGAGAAAAATATCTTTGTCTTCAGTCATTTTTTAAAATTTATGATAATTCATGCTTTTCAGCATCCAGTGACCACATTTCAAGTTCTACTCCTCATCTAAACCCTGTTTGATTCAATTTACAGGTATTTGGCATTTCGTGGAAGTGAATGCTTGGTAGTGTTATAGATTAAAACGCAGTTAGGAGAATATGAATTTGGAAAAAAAGGGCAGTACACCACACACATATCTGTTTGGTATACATTGTGTAGTCCGGACATGGTATAGAAATGTATTTATAAAGTTATTTGTTCTAAAGTTTATTTACAATGTTGTTGCAATTTTTACATGAATAGATGAAGTGGCAAAAGTACCGGTACATGTACGCTACATGTAACATGTATGTCTATCTTTGCAGGGTGTGTAAGGCCAGACGTGTTGCATTACAATTGAAGCTTTTGTGTACAATGGTTTGGGTGGTGCCAGAATAAAAGTTCAATACGAAAGCTGGAACTACATGTACAGTCGCTGTTCAAAGAGCTGGAAAAAACCAGCCTTCATTGCATGCCTTGAATCACAAAATTCATTCTGCTGGGCCTCATGTGAAAATTTTGCTCAGCTGTAAAGCACAGCAGTGTGTAATGCAGAATCCCACATACAGCTAAATCTTGAACAGTTTTTCCAGCGTTCTGTGTGAGATTTTGAGCACTTTTAAGTATGGAGGTGGTGAAAAGGGACAAACTTCTATCACACATGTAATGCATGGAGAACCAATTACATATGTGTACATTCAGTACACGTCTGTGCAGCCAAATAGTTTAGATTTTAGCCATCAAAGAATTTCACGCCTGTGTGAGCACAGGGGTGTCAAAGGGCTTAATTCAGTTGTGTGTTTCATGCATGACTTCCCTGTCCTGTTTGCTCTGCAAAAAAGGCGTTTTCGCTTACCCACACTGGCAGAATTGATTTTTTTCCCCAAGATAAATTTTTCTGCATTTCAATTTGAAGCTGTGTGCACTTTGATCACAATGCTTATGATGTTTGAGTTGTTGGCTTGATTTGTGGCTTCCATGAAATTTAGAAATGAGAGCTTCCTTATCTATATTTAACCCGAGCTCTGAATTTCAAATTTTGTAATGCAACCTTCCTGAGTGCTCCAAAAGCTAAACGTACTTAATAAATTTGGGATGGGGAGCAATTCTAAAATTCTGAAGCCAACAAAATTGAGCAAAACTGGATACTAGATTTTGTTAGTAAATTTGAAAGGGTAAGCGTCCGAATCATGACGGCTAAGAAATAGCGTGGAGTGACTTTTACTTGTTTTTGAGATTTTGTGAAATTTATAGTAATGCTACTTGTGTTTTTTTTAATGGTCTGGAAAAGTTTTCCAATGAACCTTAAAAAAGTACCAGCTGAAATGGGCTTGCAAAGGCCTTGCTTGAAAATTATGGCTGTTTCTTTACATCACTGAAACATGGGCATGTTGAAGGCACTCTCTTGGAGCTACAACCAGTGTGCCTGCATGCTTAGGCTGATTTAAGGAAGCAAGTGGTTATGAGATGTACATGTACAATGTACATTGTAGGATGCATCATTATGGCAGGTATATTGTATTTGTTTACAAGGATTGAAATCAGCTTGGTATAATTACGTTAATTATCTCAGGAGACCAGAGATTGACCATATTATGCAGTCTTAATGTCATCCCATATGTCATTGAAAAATAACTCAAGTTTCCAACTTATTAGCAGTTTATCACCCATTGCACAGTTTGTCTCAGTTTAAGAATACCACAGAAAGCAGCTGTTTTCTGGGAAGCTGCAGTAATGGAGGGCGGTGACAGAATGCGGTATGTTTTTATGGTTGATTTTATGCACAAAGTAGAAAAGCATTCTGGGTATACATGTAGATACATGTACATACATGAACATGTATGTATGCATGTGAATGACTTTCCACAGCAATGGGATGGCACTTCACGTTGTTTCAACATTTCCTTGCCATGTTGAGGCATGATTGAAGGAACCATTACTGAATACCATCTGCAAGTGGTACCCCATAGGCACCAAATTGTCGGGGGGAGGACTAACTTGGATTTTTGTTGGGGGCAAAAATTTGGGAAGTATTTCATCTCTTCTTTGGTGGCCTTTCTGATGGGGTGATATACATGTATATATATACCCAGCAAGATATGGGACAAAACCAGTAGTAACGTACAGCACCCAATGCACTTCATATACATGTCTGTACATGTATACAAACAAGTGTAGAGCGCCATAATAATTGTACACTTTTCTGGCTGCCGATATGGGTAAAAACATACATACTGTATGTACATGTATAGCCTATTTAAATGTGACACCAAAAACTTTACCGTCATTCTTATGCAATCAGTTTTTGTGTGAAAAAGTGAATTGATACATGTACTGATATGATAATGGAAACAAGCTCACAACCCCCCCCCACACTGCCTTTCAGACCTGTTAGTACATAATAGATGGAGACTGAGACAAGTCTAGTTTTGCTGCCGCGCTTAATTATTATGTCATGGCTGGTGTCTTCCGTTCTACTGCTGTCACACTTGTCATGTTTGTCCTATATTTTTTGCTTTTTATATTCATATTTAAACTATTCATTTTGCTTTATTTAAAGTGCACCTCTAAGGAAAACATGTTTTCTGTGATTTATCTGTTCAAATAAATATGGAAAAATCCAAATCGAACACAGTGTCATTTGTCTTCAGAGCTCAACTATAACCAGCTAAAAAGGGCTTTTGTTCTGTACATGCCAAGATGCGAATTCTGAATGTAGATTGCATCATTCAGAGAAAACAGAGAAAATGAGGGGAACTTTCGCCCTGTGTTGGTAGTGGATAAACCTTTGTGCATACCAAACAATGGCTATATGCATTTATTTTTTTGAACAGATAAAATCAGAGAAAACCTGTTTTCCTAAGAGGTGCTTTTTAATACTTTTTATGAAACTACATTTGTAGTTTGGGTGGTTCCATGAATTGAAAATTCAAGTACATGTATTGTGTTGCCGTGCAACAATAAAAACTCTGCTAGAAACAGACACTCAAGGTATACTCGTTATAAAAACAAGTGACAACCATGCATAGTGCACTTTGCCTGGTTTATTCAGTCATCTATATGACAGTAGTATACATGTAGAAGTTTATTTTGGTTAGGAATTTATTTTTTTTCGACTGACCGACCTTCCCTCAAGTAAAAAAAATATGAGAACCAAAGAATTAAAAAAGGGTGCCCTGATTAAAAGAAAAATAGGCCCAGCTGCTATTTTTTGTTGGGGGGGGGGCATGTACCACCCCCAGCAGGTGCCTGCCCCCTCCTCCATTTGAAATATCTGAATAATATCTGTTGAAATGCAGCTTCAGCTTATTTTCTTGTGGTGCCTTTTGAAAAAATGTTTGCACCCCTGGGTGCCTCTCGGACGTTTAGCCCTAGTAACACCACTAATGGTATGGCCCCAGTTGCCCCCCTGGATCCGCCATGGCCAAAAGGATCCAGACTCAAAGATTCGAAGAGGATGGTGTGTTCAACCATTCCTCCATGGTTCAACAACCCAGCCCAGCCGTGGCATCATACCCAACAAAAGCGCAGTCTCAGCACAGTATCTTTGAGAAATTGTTCACGTTTCTAAGTTAATGCGGAACAGTTTCATATTTGGCCCTTACTGTATGGTTTTCTGCAGTAAAATTATCCCAAAGATTCATGGAAAACCAAGTGAGCTATATTTCTACCGCGCGGATATTCCGTTTTCGCTCACATAACGAGCGGTAAGCTAGCTCGGATCGAAGATACCGCGCGCAGTGAGACGGCGCGTTCTGTCCAATCAGCGTTCTCGTTGGATTCGACGTCATGGGTTGGCAAACATGGCGTCGTACTCAGACTCTTGCGGCGAGAACTTAATACTCGAAGTTCAGAAATACCCTCAGTTGTATGACAGATCGTTGGAAGCTTATAAAGATACACTCCAAAAACAAGATATTTGGGAGGCCGTTGGAGGGAGAGTGAACATGTCAGGTAAGAAGAAAACGAGGCATTTCCCCTTTTTAGGTATTTTACCGAGCGCCCGGTACGATGTTGCATGCTCATGCACCTCCGCTGTCCATGCGTAGGGGCCTAGGCTTTACCACTTACATGTACAGTAGGCCTACAGCAATGTACATGTACATGTACGTGTACCGTACGTGTCTGTACAAAATGTTAGGCTATGTTGAGCGCGATCGGTTGATGGGCCTATAAAATTCTAACATGCGCGATCGCCCAAATTTTGTGCGATCAGTCGATCTTATTGTGTGATTTGTCGGTAATAACGCCATCAGCCAATCACATTTTCTTAAGGTTTAGGCCTAAAGTTAAACTGTTGAGGAAGATTGCTTCCAAAACTGAAAAGGGGAAGTTGGAGATTGCATACAGGATGGACCAATCATGTAACTTGTTATGCTATCATGCTGAGAGATCGGGTGATCATGTCTAACCCTGTCAGACTTGTTCACGAGACTGCAATATTATTTTCATGTACTGACAAAGTTACACCTGTGTTAATTATCAAAATATTTTAATTATTTTTATTAATGGGGGCATGGATGGAAATCCCGGGGGGGGACAGGTCTTACTAATTTCCGTCAACACAGGATAGTAACGTCAACACAGTGTCAACATCTCAAAAATACAAGTTCAGTCTACAAGAGGCATAGTGTACATACTTGGGCTGACTGATAAGTGAAAGAGACTTTTCAATAGTTGGAGGTCACAAAACAATTTGCAAATGAAGTTGTTTTCACGCAAAAAATATGATATGAAGCAGCGTAGCTGTTCGCCACCATCTTGCCTCCTCATGGTGCTTGGACTGTACCATTTAGGTGTGGATACTTTGTAAATTAAAATACTTTTAAGAGAGTAGCAATCAATGTAGCAGAAACAACATAACTTTTATGTAACACAGCTATTGTCAAAATACAAAAAGGGACAATTGTTCAAGCTTAAGAAAAATAAAATGTGGTAACTTTAAAGGAAAAAAGCATTGTTTCTTTATCATATAATATCACCACCCTTTAGCATAATGGTATGGTCTTGGTTGCCCAGAGGCAACATGGCTGCTGACTTCTGATCTGGTTCGAAGGAGGTGATACAGCCAAAAGGTCCCAAAGCTCTCATATGTCACAGAGAACTGAATTATGAATGCATGATGGAATGCACATCGTGTGTGGAAAATCAACTGTTTAAATGCATGCAGTTATATAGTTATGACTATAACTACAGTACTTTTGATTTTGGTACATTTTGGCCTACCCATTTGTTTACATGTATTCACATGAACATTATAATGAAATGGCCCTAAAAAGACAGTTCTCTTAGGGGTAAAAGGGAAGGGATGTACAGGTAAGTTTTCAATACTGGGATGACAAGAATTTTTTTCTGTCTGTTGAAAAATTCAAGCATTCGTTTCTCTGCCAGTTAAGGTGCTATCTGACAGTTACCTGTGAAGTTCACCTGATCAAGAGACAAACTTTTTGAAGCTTTCACAAATCTCACTGGCTTATTTTGGAACACGGTTCACTCTGATGTATGAACTTGACAAAGTTCCTTCAACCACCGCTGGAACTTGTATTAGTGGCATTTTTTTCACACTTTTTTCACACCAGTCATACTATTCACACAATACACTTTTGAGTGTTGTCGTGTGTCAAAATTGTTGTCAATTTGGAAGTTCCATTTCACCTCCCAGTCTTAAGTGTTACTGAATCAGTTCTCCTTTGTTGCTGTTTTTTTTATATACATGTAGCTGCATGGCATCCCAGAGCACCTTGCAAGGTTAAAGCAGTACGGCCAACTCGTTTACTTGTACGAATCACCTGCTGCTAAGAAAGTGCGGGGAAATTGATGACATACTTAATTGAACAGGTAGTAATTTTTTGTTTGTATGTTTTAGGGCCACAGGCTGCCAAGAGATGGAAGGACATCCGGGATGCCTTTCTGAAGTCTAGAAAGAAGCAAGATACAAAGAATGTCAAGCCCTATAAATATGAACACGTTCTGGGATTCCTGCTTCCATACTTGAAAACAAGGTACACCTATGTACCTATAGGTAATTTCACTCTACACCAGCATGTTTGTATGGTCCATTCCACGTCATAATCTAACGTAAACTTACAAGATACACAGCACTGAATCATTCTGCGCATTTTTGCTTTGTGAATTGACAGAAGCAACATGGCTATGAATGACGACTCATTTGCTGACTGTGATAGCGATGGGCATTGCGATAGAGGAAGTGAAGGGGAGCTTGTTGAAACTCAATTGAACAATTCCAATAAACCCCCCATTCCAGTACCTGTGTATCTCATTGCGAGGAAACGGAAACGGGACGAGTCTCTCCAACTGGGAGATGGTATACTGAACTGTTGCAAAGAGGTGCAGAATGGGACAGTGGAGGATGAAGACGATGCATTCTTTCGGTCCATGGCCGCCATGTGCAAGAAGCTTCCACCGTCCGTCAAATCAAGAGTCAAATTTCAAATCCACAAGTTCCTCTTTGAGGCGGAGATGGAACACAGTGGTGAGAATAGCTAGTAAAATAGCAAATACGTGCAGTGCTTCAAGTTGTAAATAGTCAAATAAATCATTCCTTCTTTTTTAAAAACTACATGTAAATATTGTCTTTTGTTGCTTTATCCATGTACATTGTATACTGAAAGTTGTTTTTAAGGACATGTATAAATTTATTATAAAGATTGTTTAAATTGGCCTTCCATCTATAACTAGTGATTTTTTAAGAATGTTGAATAAGCATATTGATTAAGAACACTGGGGGTTTGAACTTGTTGGCTTTCTTTTAATGATTAAAATCCTTGTTTTAGAGAATGACACTTTGTGAAACAAACTTGTGCCTCTTTTTGGGAAAGAGTAGGTTTCATTTTGCCCATAAAACTTTTGACTTGGCATGTTAGGGTGAAATAGAGTAAATATTTTGACCCATAAAGTCAGCATTAAAAAAAAATCCAACCATACGTTTGTAGAATGGCACATTGAGAAAAATTGGCATCTTTTTCAGTGTCTTTCTGATATGAAAAAATCAGGTTACATTTGGCTTCTGAAGACTTTGTCCCAGATTGTGTACAATTTGAATAAATCCTAGGAAAAAACTACATTTAATGACTGTGTAACTAGTTGAAAAGGGTGTCATGTACATGTGTTGACTTTGGTATGAAATATATATTTTTCTCTTTCTCATCAGTTGTTAATAAAAGCAGTGTCTTTGTCAGGGAGAAAACCTTGATTGGCTCTTGTTTTCTGTGTTATTGCTTTGCTGTGATTTTGTTTCATCTAATAAGGCCGTTTGACTTGACAAATCCAAGGAAATGCCATTCCTGCAGTGCCATCGCACTCGCATACTTCTTGAATTGAGAACGCCCACGCACTTTTGCAAGTCACGACTCTTGGTCGGAGAGGATTGTAACATGCGTGTACCACCTATGTGTGAACAGTGTGGCCCTGCAGTAATGGCTTCTGTTTTCACCAGATTTATCTATAATTTGGGTTCATGGGTCAACAGTTTTTTTGGGTGAGAAGAGATAATGCTGCTCTTAGTGTACAATAATTGCCAAACGTTTTGCCGATGTTAAACAATGCTTGAAGGCCAGCATTGTAAGATTTTTAACAAATTCTTGGTATAGGAACTTCAGGAAGGCGGATGTTTCATAGTGTTGGGGGGGAAGTATGAATAGAAAGGATGAAGAGAATGATGTAACCCTTGTAGGACACCAGTCTGTATTACGTTACAACTTCTTAGGATGGCAAGGGATCCACCTGCACTGGATGCTGTCAAACTCATGCCGGGTCTTGTTCATGTACACATGTATATTTATTGATGGGACCGTAATTCTGCCCATAGCCTGTAATCTACCATTTGTAGCTAGTGATGTTACAACAAATATGTATCAAGAGCACACTGAGCCTTTCAGTGTGCTCATTGGGTTGCTCTATTGAGTTAGATCATACCAACGACTTAATTTTAGCAAACTGACTTAGTGACATTCTTTGTAGCTCTCTAACTTTTGTACTAATTTCTAAGGCTATGCCGAATATCTGAATATTCAATCAATCATCAAATATTTGAATAGTATTTTTCAAATTTGAATATTCGAATCGGAAATCAATGTAAAGGAAGGGAGAATTTTCTTTTATTTTAAATGAGAAAAATTGCACGATGGAAGCTTGTTCCAAGTAAATTTAAAAAGAGTCAAAAACCTTACAAGGACGTGAAAAGTATATTATTCATTAAAAAATTTAAAAAGAATATACATTTTCAACAGGAAAAGAATTATTGTTCGTCTCTTAAATCTTGGCGTGAAAAACTATTGTAGTAATTATAATGTACAATTGTGTCCATTATTGCAACTACTTTTGCATATTGTTTGTTCCTCAACAATCTGCTGGTTGGTACCACCGAATATTGGGATATTTGAGAGAATTGAAGGTCGAATATTTGAATAGTGAATTATTCGAATTGACTCAGCCCCTCTAATTTTTGTAATTTCTAACTGGTGTTCTTTTATGAAGAGTATGATGTCCTTACTCTTGATGACGTGCAATCTCTTTGTTGAGATCAGAAGTAACAGAGCTTCCCCAACTTGCATGTAATTTGCTTATTGATCGGGATGTCACCTCAGTGTAAAAGACACTATTGTGTGGCGTATTACTTTCAATTACATGTACTGCCCTCCATGGCTGTTCGTTTGTTTACATTGTAAAGGGGGCTGTTCTGTACTTAACTCTCAGCTCCCGTTAATTGTTTCAAGCAGCCTTAGACTGGACATAACGAGGACGGGCAGTTGCCTTTCAGTTTATGAGATTTCATTAGTCCCTCTGCACTTTGACTTTTGCCTCGTAGTTTGCTTGGCTTGGCACACCATGCAGTGGGCCCTTACACACCATGCAGTTCTGCACATATGCCAACTGTGTGTTGGTGTACATATTCAATGAAGCTTAGAGTTCATCAAGGCAAAAATTTCCTTGATGTGCATGGCAGCATGGGACAGCTACATGTAGAGTTGTGGAAACTTTGCAGTCCCTTTTCCACATTTACTGCCAACAGTCACATCATGATTCCCTGTTCTTTTGTGGTCAAACTGGCAGGTACTGGTATGATACTTACATACATTATTACCACACACTGTACTGTTGCACTCACTACTTTCAGGGTGTGCATGTACAAATCTGAAACGTAAACTTGCATATTTAATATACACATGTGTGCACTGAGGCATAAAGCTCTAAAGTTAGAAACCAGTTGCCGCAAAATGTGCACAACATGCGGTAGTCATATTGAGGGCAGCCAGCATTGCAGCTACACTGTGTATACTGATATGTGTTGAGCGGATGTTGGTATAAGTTGCCTCTGAAAAGTTTGGTTTCCCTTCGTATTTCAACCTAATTCTTACAGTAGAGGAAGTCCAACATATTCTTCTTTGATGGGTAGCTGTTTGAAACGGCTTTGCTGAGAGAGTGGGCTAGTCCGTAGGGGAAGAGTTGGTGTTGGACAGCTTGTCAGCATGGGCTATGTCAATGTGTACACCATGGGGGGCCTGGTGGCCTTTTTGGCCATCTCCTACCAGCTGGGCTTTGTCCAGGTCAGCAACCTGACTTCGGTGCTGGTGTACCTGGGAGTTACGGTGGTGGGGTTCCTGATGGGGTTCATCATGGTGATGTTCTCGGGCAAGAAGCGGAAGACATCCGTGCTGGCCAGCCCCTCGCCTGCTGCCAACATCCTGGTGACAAAAGTCATGGTGAGAGTCCTGTTCATACTGAGAATTCAGGATTTATAACCCAGCTATTGGGCCTGCCCTAGCCACAGTTCTGAATCTAGTAATATCCCGACTTTGGAAACTGGGAAGTACATGTATGTGTTGGATGCTGTTAGTTTCAGGACTCACGAAGCAGGGGTTTGATAGAATATTCTGAATGTTCTGAAAGCAAGACCTTTGTAGTTTGTACATACTGTAGATGGAAATGTTGAGAAACTCTGTGATATTCTAACTTGCATTGCTGAGAGCAGTAGAATAAACCTATTCAAAGTGTTTTTCCAACACGCTGTACACCAGTTGTTTGTTCAGTTACAAGTACATGTACATAGATCAGTTTCATTTTCTGCTCTTCAAGCGGCTGATTCAAAATATGTGCATACCAATCAATTGGAGTAATATTAAAATTAGTAAAAAGAAGTGTTTCCAAAATCTAGTTGCTATGTACACAAATGCATCTCAGGAAATTGTGGCCAATTGTTTTTTGTATTGGTCACAAGTTCATGACATAAAATTCTTGGTAGGCAGAAATTTTCATTTGATAAATGTGTATTCTGGCAATTTTGGCACTGAAAATCCTGAGTGGTAAGCTGTCTCTTGTAAAATAAATGCATCAGGGAATTAATTTTTTTTGTGTTTTGGGGTCTTTGAAACACATTGTTTGCTTGTTGGCCTTTGACAGGAAGTGTTATCACGCAGGCAGCGTAGGCCAAGGGGAACGGTAATCTCACGTAACCTGGACAAAGCAGTCAAGGAGGGTAAGTCTTTTCTGATCTGCCTGACAAATATAGATTCCTGCAGTGTGCACTCCTTGCATGAAGAAGAGAGGGGTCTTTAGACAATGCACCCGGCTCTCCTATCATAACCTATGAAAGACCTTGCCCCTTCTCAACTGCTAAAATGGTGCAAGTTTCATATGTTGTCTCTTGACAGCTTTCACACAATATTACGGCAAAGGACCATTGCCAGTGTAACAAACATAAAGCTATTTCAAAGGCCAATTTTTGAGTGACAAGTGTGCTATAAGAATTTTAATATTGACACAATCAAGTACAGTAACGAGGCACCTTTTAATGTTGACGAGAACTGCACACGTGTGCTATGTCAACACGACAAAAATACACCACACAAATGATGGGGACGTTATAAGCTACATATACCTTACAAATGACAAAAATGGCTAGCGCCAGTAGTTACGATTGCGCCCTCTTGTGTTGGTGACCCCTGACTTCGTTTCTCTCGCTTTTCGTTTTATTCAACTTCCATGTTTTGCCCATGTGCATTAAACCTCCTCTATATCCAACAAGGTGGTTTCACAGTTGCGGTTCTTGTGTGTCCAGGGAACCTCTTTCCTATCACTGGCGTAGGCTAATTCCTGAGTAGTGCATTCTAAATTTCTTAATAGTTTTGTTGGTTGGTCTGCTTGTTTTCATGTAGAGCTGCAGGGGTCACATGCTTCAAATCTGTACCTACATGTAACAACAGTTTGTAGGCTTTTTTGTGTAGTGGTTTTGAGCAAAGTTGTCAAGGTTGTTTGGTTTTTTTACCAAAGATCAGGCATAGACAAAGATGACTGGAGAAACTGAGTCGTCTTGTTTGTTCCAGTGACCCTGGAATTTATCCCAATGCCAAACACAGCAGTTTCTTAAGTAGGCTTTGTTTGGGGTGGGGGAGGGTTCATGGCAAGGCTGAATTTATGGCTTTCCTATTGGGCCAGATTGGGTTGATAGTCATTGAATACTATGCACAGTATTATGAGAGAGTAGAGCTCTTTTCTTGGAATGTGGATCAGGAAGCTCTGCAGGGATGTTGTGTTAACCAGCTTGACTAAGAAAAAGGTTTACCTTAGAAATACTTTCAAAAATTTCATTATTAATTTGTATACCATTGTGAGTTTATGCACTTTGCACGTACATCATTGGTACATACTCATGTAATGCAGATGTCTGAAATACAAAGAAATGTGTCTAATCATTTGCTTGATCATACATTAACATAATAATGTTTGTATAGTACATGTTTATGTTTAAGTGTGTATCGTATACGTACCTGACCTGTTTTATGAAATGCCCTCTTTTCTCAAAGACACTTCAGTCAGAAAAAAGTATCATAAAGTCCAAATATCGCTTACAACTTAATTGAGAAATCTCACCAAATCATTCTGAAACCATATACTTTCAAAAATCTCTGTGGTATTTTTCCGATTCATGTTTGTTTTGTCGACAGTTTTTGACATGGTCGTGAAGGATTTTGTGATGAGTTGGTACAGCAATCTGGGGCAGGATACCAGCGAGTTCACAGCTGCTCTAGAGTAAGTCCACTTAAGATGGCACAAACCTTTGAGGAATCGGTTGAGTAAGCAGCTCAGAGTTCAGAAGGTGGCTGTTGCATAATCATAAAGTTGCATAGTGTGTGTAAAGTGTACTGTCCTTGTGACAAAGGAAAGTGAATTCTGTTTGCAACCATCCACATGCTCTTTTCACCTTGTGACTGATCCATGCAAGTTTCCATGTTCAGCCGAGTGTGGAGACAGTGATTTGTGGTCATGGACTAGTCTGTAGTTCCTGATTTTGGCACAGCTTAACCGTCATTTTTCCCCATGCTTTGATTGAACTGTTTCAACCACACTACATGGATCTTGTTATTTTCTGCCCAGTCGTCATAATGTGGGAGATTGAAAATTGTTTGTTTCTGGAAAAGTCACAGAGAAAAAACCCCAGAGTGACGTAAAATTGCAAATGTAATTTCAAGTGGTTAATCCTGGCCACAGTACTTTGCTGTTCATTTTACCATCTAGTGGATATGTCAACTGCAGTTCATTTCATATTGCATGCACATGTATATGTTTAATGAACTTAATGTCACTGAATAGTTTGCCTGATCCCGCAGTCTTGTAAGCAGTTGAAAATCAGTACACCTGTATGAATATGTTCATGTAATCTTGGGCCGTTTTCCAGTACTCAACTTCGTCTCCATCTCAGGCTCCGTTCCCATAACCATTCCCTGATTGTGGGCCTGAAGCGTTTAAATTACATTGGGTTACTGTAATTTTTGGCTGTCTTGCATCTTATTTGATGTTTTGTGGCACTATTAGACTGATTACTGTGCTTACAGCTTCAAAGTCAGCTAGTAAAAAAAACAATTGAAGCCTGAGACGGAGCCAAAGTTAAGTATTGGAAAACGGCCATGACGTGACAATTGTCCATTAAATAATTTTTCCCTTTTTTTCCATTGCCTCACTGCAGAGAGGACATGTGGGAGTTTTTGGAAAACCTTTCAAAAAGATTAAAGAATATAGATGAGGTAAGTAGTTTTTGATATTCCATACAGCCCTAAGGTCATACAAATAGTGGAACTATTGCAGGCAATGCATTTGATACAAATAAACCTGTTACAAATACAGCAAACAGGCAGGTCTTTTAGCTACTGCAGGAAAAACAGGCTTGAATAGACAGCTGTCCTTGATGTAGCCTCGGCGACATACCGGTTGTGGGACAACATTGCATTCCAGTCCATCGGCTATAACCTTTGTTACCTGTTGTTGCTAAAAGCCGCATTTGCCTGTTAATTGAGCACCCTCTTTGAACTGTACAGCTATGGCTGTTCAACATGGATTGTGCCAAAAAATGTGTCCACAAAGATAATTGTAATAATTTTCACATGAGGAAACGGGAGCTTTCTGTGGGATTCCAGGAAAGGTAACAGTATGCCATGTCTTTGTTGAATAGGGATTTTTACTGGTGGACTGTGCCTGTAGAAATTGCTCTCTTTTCTTCTCATCTTATTTTTAGGTACGGTTCTTCACAAGCGATGTTGTTTATAAATTCTGTGATCACTTTGCTGAGCTGAGAGAGACCACTGTCAAGTGAGTACCAGTAAAAAAGTAGGCTATACCCTAAGCAATATTTGTGCTGGAAAAAATGAAACCAGGATTTATGGCAGTAGAAAAGGGCTCTGCTTGTGTTTCATTAGATTTTGCATAAGCTGAGGCTGTTGAGGACAAGTTTTGGCAGAGAACTACCGAGGCTTGAGATAGTTTGGATATTTGTCAGCAGGTAAACTTTTCCCACAGGAGATTGTTAGTTATCCCACAATTTCTATCAGCATTTCCTCACAAGTTGCCATCTTAACCAAGTGCAGGAGAACACAAGACACAATAATGAATTTGTCAATTTGGTCTTGTGTATTGAAAGTGAAAACATTACTGGATCCTATTAAACAAGTCTGTCCCTTTGCACATTAGATTTCATGTGCAAGAGAAAGATCTAGAATACAGAGCATTTGACTATTGTTTGCACCTACATGTACATGTACTAATAAAACTGCACAGCATTAATTCCTGTTGGGATTCCTGCAACCCTAGTAATACCAGAGCCATTTTGTTGTGTTGGGTCATGTGGCCAAACTTACAAATTGTGTGAAGGAATTTTATATGTTTGCTCCAAATTCTTTAGCAAAAATATTAGGGTAGGATGATGGCCAGTGATTTCTTTTTATATGCACATATGTGTTACAGTTCATATGCAACAGTATCTGATATGAACCCATAGATCCCTAAACAGTCCTGAATCCTCCAATTTTAAAGTGATGTTGCAAACCCTAAATCCTAGGGATTTAGGGTTTTAAAGAATGGGAGGGGGTGGACCACTGCAGTGCATTTTTTGAGGAGCTTAGCCTTTAGGAGTTTTAGAGTAACTCTTTGCAGTCATTTTGACACCAGTTTTTGAAAATCGAATTACCGTGCCAGATGTCTGAGTTCAAACTTCATATTTGTGATGACAAGGAGTGTCTTCACATGCATTCCAAGTTTTAAAAAAAGTTAACCGTGGCACAGCAGAGTTCTTGAGGGGGGAGGGGGATGAATTCCTCCCCCCTGGCTGTAAGATGGGCTAAAATAACCTGCCACTTTTTTTGATCAGTCTGACCACTTTATAACAATACAGAACAGTATGCACAAAACTGTTGCTCTGGTTTGCAGTAAGAAAGATGTAAGTCCTGCTTGATACTGTAGGTTAGTTCAGGCATGGTAAGCTAAAACACATTATTTCATTTAGTCCAAATAAAGCTAAAAAAGTCTTCTTACGTGGTGGATGTGTGTCTTTATGTGACCACAGATATTTGCTGTAAACTCATTCAGGGGGTGAAAACTTTCTTGTAACTGTAAGTTTGTTCTGGTACCCCTTTCCCGCCCCCTTTTATCCATCCTTGTCTCTCCCTCCCTCCTTCCAGAGATGCCCCCAACCCCAAGCCTTTCCTCCTCCACCCTTGCCTGATCAACGAGGAGGCCGAGAGGGAGTTCCTGAGGGAGACAGTGGAGGTGATGCTGGTCCTCATGCTGCCGGCCGGCATCGCTAACTCAGACACCGCCCGCCACCTGCTACGAGAGATCATCACCTGCGGAGGTGGGTCAGTCTTTTTTTAAACTCCTCCTCCCAATTGTGCAAGTGTGGAACAAGATTTGACAATAATTGTTAACTGCTTGATAAATGCAGGAGATAATTACACTCAAGTTTATAGAGGGGCATAGTTCCTGCAGTCTACAATGTAACTTTCATCTGTAAAGAAGGAACTTTTGTTTGAGCAAAAGTTGCAGCGCACCAAACTTCATAAAGCAGAGTACACTGTACATATGTACATGTGACTGCATCCTTGGGCCATTACATTTTGCCACTAAATCTGATCAACCGTTTTCTGTTCCTGCATTTTCTATTGTATGAGCAATTGACACGTGTGAGTTACATGCAAATTGTCAGATGTGAGGGAGATAATACATGCAATGTTTTGTGGCTAAACTTTTTATGAACCCCTCTCCCCTAAAATATTAAATCCAAGTGTTATGATTTTTTTGTTAATAAAATTAAACTTAACCCCAACATTCCCGAATCTGCTAATTTCAATATGATTTTGCACACACCCTAGGGGGTTAACATTGGCAGTACATGTCATTTTCAACCAATTCTATGAGATATAAAGAAATACTCAAATCAAACCTGTGTTAAGCTGTAATTTTTAAGTGTGATGTTTAATTATGATATTATTAAGTTACTGTTAAAGCATATGCTGAATACAAATGAACCAGGAAGGCGGACATCAACAGATTTTATCTAATGTTTTAGAGCAACATCAGAATTTCTTCAATACGAAAGCCCTTATTAAGTCAAACTTTGTTGTGTCCTACTGTAGCTCTGAAACCTGTGGTGGACCTGGTCTGTGACCCGTACTTTGTCAACAGCATGCTGGTGTCGTTCTTGGAGCATCGTCAGACACTGGCCGAGAACCACAAGCGCAAGTACGCTTACGCTGCATCCTATGAGGAATTCATCAAACTGATCAACATGTGCAGTGACATACAGGAACTGCAGCAGATCAGGTCAGTTAACTACTCCATCTGAGGGCACCTGAAAGAGCCTTTATTTTCATCTCGCAATTTTTGTTTTTTTTTAATTTCAACCATGCAAAGATAAATTAATGAAATGGACAGGTCAAAACCACTTAAAGCACAGTTTTCCTCATTATCAAAAACAGGTCACCAGCCAAACATTCATGTGATGGGAATGACCTGTGACTCGCTCAGCAGCATCTTGTAAACAGTAATCTTTTCCCAACAGGCGTCACTTCTGTCAAAAACAAAAGAATAATAACAGTTTTTAGAAATCTATATAAAATTTGTACTTTTTGCCCTTCTGGAAACTGTCTACAAAGTGATGATCAGGACGAGTTATGGTGACAGTGTGGTTTAGTGCATTATTATTTGTGACCGGCTCCACAAAATGGGTATTATGGAACATACACATTTAAATTGGTTTCCTTATAAGCTTTAACTCGGTGCAGGTTTGAACCCTGTGGCAATTTGCAAGCTGGAGATATATATGATTTTTGCATAATCATATCATACACAGCAACACAAGTACTTTCAGAGATAAAGCTTTTAAACACATGAAGTAGGAAAAAATCAGCCAAGAAGAAAGTCTTTTGAAGTTTATAGCAACAGTTAGGTTTCTTGTATGAATTGTGAAAGTATTAATATAATAAAAGCCAAAAAACCAAGAAGTAAAAATCACCTTGTCTACATAGAATAGCCCTTAGCATGAAATAGCACAGGGTCCCTTAATACCCTTTTTGGCAGAGCGGGTCACATTTAGTGTTGCTTAGTCTATTATTTTGAAATCTAAAACAAGTGACTTTTGAATAAAATTGCTCTTTTCTTGTCAGGTACCACATCATCACTGAAATAATGCATGCCACCATGATCCAAGACTTGAAGAAGGCTAGGGGTCCAGAGGCAGACAAGTCGGCCAAGAGCAGCGGCAAGGCCAACCTGCTCCGAGTCCGCAACCTCAAGAGATACATCAACCAGGCAAGAATCCAATTCAAGTGATTGGATATGAGTACACTGAGTCCAAGTAATCAAATCAGTTGGGAACAACTCTAATTTCCCTGCCGCAAAAGCAGGCTGTTCCCAGAAATTAGACAATGGGATTGGAAGAACTTTCCCTCAATGTCAAAATGTCAGATGTTCTCTTTTATCCATATTGATATTAATTTCTTAATTGAACTCTTTAACTTTAAACCTAGCCCTCCTTGATCATTCACAGTTGAAATAGGTTAGCAGAAATCTGCAGCATTCTGAAATATACATCCTTGGTTTTGCATAGGATGTCTTAGCTATTCATATGTTATTCTTATGTGACACTTTGTTTGCTTATATGACTTGATGTTCTTTGATTTAAAACTAATCTTCGCTTTCAGTGCAAAGTTGCCAAAGTCCAGTGCGAGCGACGCCTGGCTCTCCTTGGGGGACCGGAGTACCAGGCATACAGTCACTCCACACACTCTAAACCGCTGCACGATCTGAGGCCACAGAGGGTGCTGACGCTGGACGAGATCCTGTCGGACAAGGTGGCTAGAGCCTACCTGACCAACTTCCTGAAGAAGGAAGGCAAAGATGACTTGCTCAAGTAAGATTTCACAGTTAGTTTGATCGTGATCAAAGTATTTTTTGAGTTGCAAGGAGCCTTCGGCTTGTATCGTTACGGCAATAAGAAGTAAGAGCTTGTGCCCTCAAGCAAGGCACCTTACCCCAATCATTTCCCTTAACTGTGAAACATTTTGATGCTTACAGTGGAGACCTGGTCTCATCTACATGTGAGATGTGTATTTAGATATAAATTGGTCTTACATCAGAGATGATAATTTATTTACTGAAACAGTGTTCAGATTTATTAATGCCTGTTGGGGGAAGATGTGATGATTTGTAAGACTCAGTGTGATCTGGATTTGAACAACATCACACCAGGCCGTGTGTTCTTGAGCAAGACACCTTACTGGAATTGTTTCCATCTACTCATTCTAGGAAGCACGCAGATGAGGACAGCTGTGGTTCCGTTATTATGCTGTTTGAACCTCGTTGGGAAAGGAGGATTCTTAGCTATGATTGCCCCTTATCACCCAAGAGCGAATTACCCTCATGAGCTATGCATGTCCACAAAAAAATTGTAATTAAGGCCTGACACCACTTACTGAAAACATTGTACGCTTTGCTGCATGTATGTGTTCATAGATTTGCTATCTGTTTTGTTAAACAGCTTTTGGTTGGCAGTGGAGCAAATGAGGGAGAGTAAGAAGGTGAGGATGTTTTGTTTTAATTGGTGGATCCGTGTGTCTGTTCTCATGCTGGCACCTGTCACCAAACTTTATTGTTCACTCCTGGAAACTCTTCTACAGTGTTATTGGTGTTGAATATGTGAGTGTAGAATGTGGGTGTTCCAGAGTCATGCAGTTGAGCATAAACTTTCTGAATTACTAAATGAGAATGAATTGTCATATGCTAGGCCAAGAGTATTAACTGTTTGACTTTTGCCTTGAGTTCCGCCACCTTCAAAAGACAAAAGCCTGCCATCAGGACTGTACACTGTAGGTAGTCCAAATGGTTGCAGAAATCATTGACTTGCCCATCAGGGTCTGGAATGGTTTTTAGATGTACCTTTAGGCACTTTTCAAGGAGCCTTTGTAACTTTTTTCCCAGCCCAAGGACCAGCACATGTATGCCAATGAGATATACCAGACCTACCTGGCTACAGCCAGTGCAGTAAAGGTGGACAGAGGTCACATCAAGGGCATGACTGACTTCCTGGCAGCCAACAGGGTAATTCAATCAATTTATTCATGATCCCTGATTGTTATTGGATCTATGATGTTGATTCTTTCGTGCTGAAATTCAGACTTCCTTTTCTTGAAGTGCTATTTGTGTTTTACCTCCTTCCCCCGAGAGGAACTGAAATGAGCCAAGTGGCCTCTTTCTCCGTCTGACCGTGTTTGATGAGCTGTGAAGCTTTTCATGGCAAAGGTGGCAAGTTAATATAATGTAAAAGGGTTTGCTGTAAAGAGATATGCCTGCATTGTATTACCGCAGACCTTTTGCTTAACTGCGGTGTTTGTTTCCATGTTTGGCCTTGTGCAGGGTCCAGAGTCATTCCACAGTGCCCAGCACCAAATCTACCAGGAGCTGGATGAGACCTACTACCCTTCCTTCCTGGTAAGTGACAGCTACACCAAGCTGATGGCAGCGCTGGGCGATCCCAACGAGAAGGGAACCGGGGAAGATCTCAGCCCGGAAGTCCTGGAAAAGAAGGGATTCAACACAAAGGTAAACCTCTCCCTGAAAAAGAACTCCATTGTTTTGTCTTCACAAGTGTTCTGTTACCCTGTAGAAATGTCTTGGAAGTCCGAGAAAGTAATTGAATATTTTGAAACGTCACGGAATTTGTCATGGAAGAAGGAATGTCATGGATTGTCCTGGAGTTTAGATCGGTCATTGTTTTGGAATTCTTACGTGCAGTTGGCAGGCTTGGTTTGCAATGACATGCCAGCACAGGGAGATGTATGAACTCTTTGACATGCTTCAAATTGTTGACAGGTGAAGCCCCCTCAAGAGGAACTACAGACGGCCGAGACCAGCTTCGCAGAGCAGACCATGTCAGTCATGACCAAACTCCAGCAAGTGGAGGAGAGACTGAGCAACAAGCTGCAGGCGCTGAGTAACCTCAAGAGCGCTCACAGTGCTGACTCAAAGGTAGGACACTCAGTGTGAAATCTTTGCATTTGATGAGTACTCTAACCAGATTGAAGAAGCCCCAATGTAATAACTTTCAGGTGTTGAGCAACTTCAGGAGTGCCCACAGGGCAGAGCCAAGGGTAGAGTACTCAATGTTGAGTGTTTGCACTTGAGTAATTAACTATCCCGAAGAAAGCTCATTGTTAAGTTCTGTGCTTTGAGTAAACACAGGTGTGCTTGGATTGCTGACTCAGTATTCAGATAGTTTAGTCAGGTTTATGCATGGTTCAAAACTTAAGGAGGTTGCAGCTTTTAGTGACACCTATCTATGGAGGTCAAGCTCTTAGAAGATGGGTTTTGATTGACTCTCTTACTTGTTAAATGTAATCTACAGATGCAGCAAATGCTGGAAAAAGAAACTGAGCAACTCAAACTGGAGAAGAGTACCTTGGAGACCTACATCGAGAGGACAGACCTGTGGAGTGATCACATTGGCAAGTGGCGAGCAGATATATGCGCAGCACAGGTGAGTCAAATCGCAGGGACACTCCTTACATCACTACTAGAGACTTTTAATGAAGAAACCGTGACAGTCCAGAACCTGTCCATGTAAGTACAGAAAACTTCAGTTGCTTCAAAGCGCAAAGCAATTTGAACATACCCCATTACTGGTACCTTGGACTGTTATAAATGCTCCACTGACTGCTTAGCCAATGTGGCCCCATTTATATCCCATGAAATATTTTCTCTGTCCTTTAGGATCACATTTCTTGAATATCAGACAAATATAAAATATGGATCAGAGAGAGGTTTGAAATCACCTGAGCAGTTATACATTACCCGATGACTTTTGGTCTCTGCTCAATTAAGTAGTGATGTTTATGCCAGTTTATAGGCATGTAACTCTAATATGTCATCCCAAGAAAAGAAACAACTCTGTTGAGGTTAACCTAACAGATATGACGGCTATTCAGCACTCATTGCAAAAATTCTGAAATTTTTCTACGCCCAGATCTTGGAGGAAAGTGACAAGGTGGTCCCTTATTATGTGATAGTGGTACATCCCACTGACCCGGCCATATCAATACCAGGATGGGTAATCTCACGTCGCTTGGGGGATTTTCATGCCCTGCAGCATAGATTAAAAGAGGTAATTATATGACAAAACCATTCAAATGTCCACAGACTTTTCACATTTGTCTCTGGACTTTTCACATTTGTCTCTAGACTTTTCACATTTGTCTGTGGACTTTCCACATTTGTCTGTGGACTTTTCACATTTGTCTGTGGACTTTTCACATTTGTCTGTGGACTTTCCACATTTGTCTCTGGACTTTTCACATTAGTCTCTGGACTTTCCACTTTTGTCTCTGGACGTTTCACATTTGTCTCTGGACTTTTCACATTTGTCTCTGGACTTTTCACATTTGTCTCTGGACTTTTCACATCTGTCGCTGGATTTTTCACATCTATCTCTGGACTTTTCACAGCTGTCTCCGGATTTTTCACATTTGATTATGCAATACACAGGTGATGTGAATACTGCTCAATAACTTTGAAAAGTTATGATATAAAATTAACTATCAGGGAAACAGTCCCCTTTAAAAGTCCCCTTTGCTCAGAAAAATCTGACGGATATTTCCACAGAGAAAATTTGAAAGTACCACTCATTCAAGTTAGGACTAGAATGTCACAAAATGTTTGTCTGGGCTCGGTCGCTTATTGAATGTCCTGTTCACGTTGGCATCACACCATGCACACAGCACATTCCAAGGTAAGGTACTGGAGTGTCTCAAGGTTTGGTTTTGCGTGTACATTTGACAAACTGATCAGGAAGTGTTCTGATGTTTCTCCAACTTGTTTGTGTTGTTTGTTTGATGGTGCAGTGCAGTAAATGGGTTGGTAAGATGGAACTGCCACAATTCAGCAGGAGACCCTTCAAGATGATTCAGCACCAGGACTTCTTGAACAGCTCCCAAGATATGCTGCAGAAATATCTTTCGGTAAGCTCAAACATCAGTGACCATTTTTTTTTTTTTAAATGAATGTTAACATTATGCATGTTTCTACATTCCCTTGAGTTTGGTCATTGTTTGAGTTCAGTCTTTAGTGGCTTCTATTGGCAAGGAGAAGTAAAATTTCTCTTGGTTGTGCAAAATTGTTTAATTACAGTAAAAAAAAGATCTAGGATATTGTGGTCTGTGTTCATGGTATGTAAGTAACAGTAAAAGACAAACTGTGTGTGAAGTTCCATGTTGAAAGGTTAAACGTCAGTGAACCAGTCCAGTACTCCATGGCCCTAAAGTGAAGAGTGTACGAGGTCATTTTGAACAGCAATACATGCACCAGAAGTCTGCCCAATCAATGCACTGACTCACACACATGCGTTACAGTCATTTGCAAAATACCTTGAAATTTATTGGTATTTCTGTCACTGGGCCTGCATTATTTTATTTATTTAATTATTTACATGAATTTCATTTTGTGTTACCAGGGTAGCCCCCATCAGTTATCAAAGAACTGCTCTCCCCGGGGGCCCTAGATTAAGTTGTACAAAATAAAATGGACAGCAAAAGAAACTTGCCATGTCTGTCAAAGGCCACACACAAAAATTCACTCCAAAGAAATAAACAATTTTTGTACATAGGTATGCCTGCAATACCCCTTACTAATCATATGCCCAAAAGCAAGTGATTATCTTTATAACAAAGAAGAAATTGACATGCACAGCAACTTTGTTACTGAATCAAAAGTCACAGAATGTAACAGAATGAGTTTTACGCAGAAATCTATGTCACAGGACAAAATAAAGAAGTCACAATCATTACTTTTCAATAATGTGTATGCATAGTCAGTAAGGATGGCATCCCCATACGGAAACCACTCATGCCCATCAGTTTGACACAACAGGTGTTCACTTTGTCATTGGTTGTTTAAAATGTTGTCCATTCATGGGTCATCTGTGCTTGGTGGAGAGTGCTTTTGTGTATGACTTTTGATTCAGTGTAGTCGACACCAAAGTTAATGACAAAGACAATTACATTGTCTCATTGAACAATTATTTAACATGTTTTTACAGTAGTGCATAACATCAGTATAGTGTTATATACCCATTTGAATAAATTTTTGTGCAAAGGCAGGTCTTGTATGACATTTTGTCTGTAAGGCAACTTGGGAAAAAAAGCCAGTCTAAGCAATTAGAAATAAATGAGGGCACACTGAATATTAGACTGTTAACATTTCACATCATGGAAATATAGTCAAATAGCTGTTTAACCAAGATACTACGTTTACACATTGAAAATAAACATAAGTTGCCATGATTGATTGGTTTAAGTTTGGCTTTTCTTCAGGTCAGTGCATTTTGTGTGGGTTGTTGTCCTAAACTTTTGCAAATGACTGTATTCTTCAGTTACCCCTTGACTTTTTGAATTTCCAGACTGGCCCATTTTTTTGCTTAGAAGTTTTTTGCAGATGAATGGAAGGGACTATCACTACGGATGTGTCTGTTTGTTAAGATCTTCGCATTCCATAGTCGGACAGTGCACTGATGATGAAATTTCTTTTTTCTGTCTTAGTCGGTACTCCAAGATGAAACACTTAGACACAGTGAGGTTTTATACACCTTCCTGGTACCCACTCCTGAGTGCTTGAAAGCAACAGTGTAAGTATGAGGTGTAGCATAGTGGTGTAGATGTGAAGGAAACTGCAATGTGACTAATTAACTAGATGCTTTTCTAAATGTTTGGTGTTTGAAGATCTTATCAGTCTAGTTACAATTTATTACCGATGAAAATCCAAAATCATTCTGCTTCACATTGCATGCTGACAGTAAATTTTGACAGTAATGGAATGTCACATATTTTTAAATATAAAAACGTTAATGCTGAGTGAATTTCACATGTACAGGTTATGTCAAAACTCTTTGTTGTACCTTGTAGTAAAGGCTGAAAGTTTAAAAATTTGAAAAGGGAATCACATTATTTTAAGAAAAGCCTTCATCTAATACGATTGGTCACATTTTCTCGTCATATTCTAGATCATGTTAGTCTTGTGTAACCTTTTGTCGTCATCTTTCATCATTATCTGGCTGCAGCAAAGAAGAGAAGAAAGAGAAGAAGAGCATGTTCTCCATCGCGGGCATCTTCAAGTCGACGGCCGGGGACCAGGATGAGGAGCGAGGCGGGGAGGAGGCAGAGGGAGAGGAGGAGAGGTGGGGGCACTGGATGTTAATGGTATCTCCGTGGCAACAGTCTCTGTGACAATATGCACAGCTCAAAATATGGGGGGCCTGATATTTCGATCCTAGCAGAATCTTTCTCAAAGGCTATAAATTTGGAGGCAGTTCAGTATTTCTCAAGATCTATAAAGAAACATTTATAAATAATGTTTTATTTTTAGCTAGAAAAGCCTGTAGTTTTCTTGCTGAAACATGTTTTGTTGGAAAGGCAGTGAATGTGTGTAAACAAAGTCAATTCAGGTGTTGGAAGGTCTGTGTGCCTTTTCTGTTGGTCTGCATAATCAAAACAGCTTATTGAAAGTTAGTTGTGCGTAATTTTTCTTTGAGGCTTGGACATGTGACAATTATTTCAAGAGGTTCAATCAGGCTGTTGGGTATGTGACTGTTTTTAATCTCTCTTCCCCAGTAGTACTCAAGACAGATGGGACTCCACAGCCGAGCCCATTTATGCTTTGATCAGCGAGATCTTTGAGCTGCGTGGGATGTTCAAATGGCTACGCAAGAAACTCATATTCTTTGTGCAGTCAACTTTTGGTGGCACCATCAACAAGTACGTTTCCCCTCAAAATATTGCATCACTTTGTTATACAAAGATGAAATATGTGCCTCTGTGGGACCGACGAGTGTGTTTGGAGTTAACCGGCATTCAGACATGAAATGTATAATTATTCTCTCTAGATTAGCAATATTTTGAACATTGTACAGTGTTGTTTTTTATGATGTGGCGCTGCTGTGCTCTTAAAAGGAAAACAGACATGTCAAATGCTGAATTTGTGTTCATTGTTAAGCTGTCAGTGAGCTTTTAAAGTTAATAAAAATTGTTGAAGATAATTTCAGGAGAACAACTGCTCCAGGAAAGTACTGTATTTCAGCAATATCAAAATGTTGATTGTTTTGGACATAACCTGCAGAACATCATATCTCTCTGGAATTTGCTGATGTTGTCTTTCATTGATGTATTCACCATAAAGTGTCTTTGAGCCTTGTATAATTTCTCACTTGATGATATATGAACATCTCACTTGTGCCTGCACAGGCAGTTGAGAGAGACCGTGGAGTGGATTGTGTCAGAACCAATGATCATCTACTACATACGCACTCTTCAAGAGACCATCTGGCCCAAGGGCAAGCTGGCACCTGCCCAGCCGTTGCCCAGCAAGGAGGAATGCGACAAGATGAAGAAGAAAGCCCGGGAAAAATTCCTACAGTATGTCCCAGGTAATGAAACTTCATTTCTGGTAGATATGTCCAAATTACTTGGCTATGGCTAAAATTAACACATACCTTTATGAAAGCTATTTTTAGCTAGTGGCTTCATACTCTTCCCGTAGACACGTGTCCTGAGTAATTTTGGCATGACTTCGGTTTTTTGGCTTTGATGTTGTGGGTAGTGTACAGGAATAGCATGACAATGTGTGAACTCTCATGACAGCTACTGTGATGGGACTGCACAGACTGGTCTGCACACATTTGACACTACGGAAACAAATGTTATCTTTGGCACGGACACACCATCATCTATGACATTTTATGTGCTTACTTGTTGTCAGCATGACTTTAATATGAGATAAAGCTTTCCACTAAAATAGGGCTGTGTTGCGGTTGCAGGGTATCGATGTGTCTGTGTTTGTTATAATAATAACTTTGTTGTCATTTAACCACTCAGTGCCGGGGTTCCTGGTACTGGAGACACTGGCCAAATGGCCGGGTTGCCCAAAATCAGAACAGAAGAACTGGGCCTTGTAACAAAGACCGAGCTTGGAACAAAAGGCTTAGCTGCTAGGACTTGCCAATCAAGGTTCATATGTTGTCAGCACAGAGTGCTGGCATAAGTTGGAGGTATACCATTGCTTGCCGCGTTCAGTGCCCATGGATTATCAGTGGGAACAAAAGTGCTCCAGCACTCCAGAGATCAGAGATGAGCGATACAATATCGCTTCATGCTAATCTGGCTGCATTTGTAAAGACAACACCACCATCCATCAACGTACTGGGCCAATTTCCGGAACAAAGGAAATTATGGGACACCGCACAATGTGGGCTCTCTTTACTAGGTGGTAGGCCTGGCTGTAATATGCGGGCGTCAATGGAGGTTGCCTGTCAGATTCGAGTAGCCACCAGACAGTCATTCGTGTGGGTATAAGCATCCAGTAAATGAAGTTATGAACTTTTTAAACAATTTTGAAAACGAAAAATCATGAAATATTGCCTTGCAACGCGTCCTGCTTTTGCAAACTCTACCTGACAAGAAGTGGTTAATCCATAAACATAGATATGCCTTTTTCCGGGATTTGTTTTGCAGATAATTGGAGGGAATTGTGTTGAGATTGATCTTGAGGGCCTAGTAAGCAGCACACTTGCATTTCATGGAACCGGCTGTTATGCCCAAGCCCACCTTCACTCTGGAATAGCATATCCTGAAGATGTACTTTTTGAGTGAGCTTGTCCTTTCTGTCATTTAAGATTTTCTGCAGTCCCTCCTCGGGAAGACCAACAGCCGTCTGGGTGCCATCAAGGTGTTTGAAGCCTTCCAAGACACAAGAACAAACAAGCATCTGTTGTATGTGAGTAGAGGTTATCAGTCTTCTTACCTGCTTCACCAGGGGTACCCCATTTATGAGGCTGTGGAGTCCAGTGATGTACCTCATTTGTTCGTCGAAGCATCCACTTCCAGATTTGGATAAATATTTTGCTAAAAATCACTTACAAGACCACTTTTATTTTTTCTTTTGATCCTTAGCTAGGAAAGAGTGTTGGTTTCATGCTTGTGAGTGTATTATCTTGTTTGGAACTTTGCAAAGAGTTTATCTTTGAACATTTCATTGACAGAATCTCATTGAGTTGCTGCTGATTGAGGTCTGCCCGGAGCTAAAAGACCCAAGGCTACTTGAGCATCTGGAGGAGGAAGAGAGAAAACTCCAAGAGAAGAAGATGAAAGAAGGGGAGGCAGTTGCCAAGCAACAGAGGGAGGAGGATAATGAGGAGGAAGAAGATGAAAAGACCGACAAATTGCAGGAGGCAGGGACAAGAAATGAAAAAGACCGGGAGGAAGAGAGGGGAATCATGGGGGATGAGGTTGAAGAGGATGAAGATGATGTGGCTGATGGGGATGATAATGATGAGAATGACAATGATGATGATAATGGAGCCACAGATGATGGCAGGGAAGATGACTTGGACGACATTGGAGTGAATCCACAAGAGGACGGTAGCCCAGGTGGTACTAGGACTGAAGCGGTTGGCCAGGAAACGCTGACAGTGGAAGACTTGGGTACCAGAGATGATGACATTGATGGAGTAGACCAGTAACATGTGCAGCGGAAATATATGATTAATTTTACTGAATCAACAAACAAATAAATCCAATATCGAGAGTGGCATATTCAGATGATAACCAGGTTGCCATGTAGTGACAGGTATTTGCCAAAGTGTTTATGCAATTCTTTCATATGCATGTAATGCATTCTTCTGACTATGCACACTGACTTTTGAGGAGACACTGAATTGTACTTGTAGTTTTGTAATAGTGCTGATACAGAGGCTGTAGATGCATGAATTGGGATAGTCAGGTTTGAAGTTACCTCGTTGCTTTCCTTCGCATGTCACAACTCTGTTGCCAATTCCAGGTGCGTTTGTTGATTGCTTAAGTGGCCAAGAAGCCTGCTCTAGTTTGCAGAAGGTTGTGGGTTCGAGTCCTGGTTGAATAAACCTTTAAAGGCTTCCCTGTAAAGCTCTGGTTAAAGCCCTGAGCATGGCGTGCTCAGAACATTGTGCTGGTGGTGGGCAAAATCTTGGGTTGAAGTGCTGCGCAAGTCTGTTAGCTTGTCTTCTGAACCTATTGCTTGCTTAACCTACCTTAGAGGACTGGTGATATCATTTGCAATTTAGTTTTTGTGGATTGATTCTGTGGATCTTAAAAAACCAGTACAGTGTAGTTTACCACAGGTCAGGATGCCCTAGCTTCAGAGGTGCATTGCACACATTACCTTAGGCCCTATTGGAATTCTTCCTGTACCATTCCTTAGGTTTTTTTCTAAATGTCTTGGATGTATCAAGGGCTTCTTGTTCTTAAGTCAATGAGCACGGCCTGAGTTTTGAAAATTGTGGATAAGCTCAAAGAATTTATCACTAATAATTTAATCACATGTACCTGGTAGGGGCGATTATAACCACTGCTAAGCGAATTAGACAACTTGCAGGAGCTTCAGAGGGAGGACTGGGGGGCATGACACTCTCCTAGCTAGTGATTGTTCTCATCATTAGTACAGCAGTCTTGTCAGCAAATCATGTGTCTGAAGGTTAGGGCTGTGACTGCAGAAGTCATTGGCATGAGGTCCCAGTCACTCCCCTCACAGCCTACTGCACACCGCAATTGAGGGGTCAACCTGGGAATGAGAACTCCTTGTCACACTTTTTCGCTTCACGGGGGTTGGGAAAACATTTTCACACCTTTTCACACAAGTGGAAAAACATTCTCACACCTTGTGAAATGTGAATTTAATGAGGAACTCTTGTCACATAACATTCCTATCCCATTCACAAGTGTTAACTTTCAATTACGCTGCACAGTATGTTGGCAGGAAAAAACTTGCATGAACAGCCCTATCTGCACCGAGTATGTCCAGTCAACCCCTGTGTCCACGTTGAATAGTGCCCTCTGCTTGCATATAATGTCAAAAGCCTATCCTCTCTGCATTGCTTTTCAAATCTCCAGCAGGCGATGAAGTTTTTAAGAGAAAAGTTCCTACATGTACCTTTGTTACTGTACATCTAGATCCACCTGTTTGTTTATTGCCCTCCAAAGGCCAGTAGGGCTCACAGGTCAGAATGCTGCTTTAACCAGTCTAACTCAGAACCACCCAAATATTGATGTAGCAAAGAGCTTGCTTGGTTAGTACTTTATTTTGTTCTCTTCTTACTGCGTGTTTGTCCATTGAAATTTGTGGTGAAAGGCTGACTTTCTGTTTGTTTTTTCTTCTTAGTAAGATATTAGCATCATTCTTTCTTAACTGAGTTGATATTTAAAACTACCTACAAAACAGAAAATTTCAATCTATATTTTTGTAGGTTTTGTACATTTGTATCAACAGATCCAGAGTGGGAACCAGTATATTTTGAATCATATGACCTATCTGGAGCATTTGTATATACTTCTGGTGGCAACTGAATAGAATTTTTGTAATTTAATCCCAGATTCTTTCTTCCAGCACTGTTGTACTTTTTGCGAAAGTTTTGTCATGTTGAATACTGTTTTGACAAGTGTTTATGTGCATCACCATCATTAAATACAGTTGTACTAACTTTAATGCGGTCATTAACAGGATGACCCCCAATAAATCTCAAAGCACAAATCAAGTAGCCCCTGTGGTTTTGCGGTCAGATGACAGAACCGACCAGAGCAAGGGCAGTGCATGTAGACCTGCCCCATGCCATAAAGTAAGTGGTGACTCAAGTGAGTTAACCAATGAAAACATAGGTGCTTCTCATTCATATGCAGTGGTTTTATAAATCTCCAATAATCAATGCTGATTGGTCAGTCTCAAAGCAACATCAGTTTGAGAGGATTCTATGCATATGATACTTTGTCCATTCATCGTGTGTGTTATTTAGTTGCTCATACCCCACCAGTATTTGTCTCTTGGTCTGCCTAGATACAAAACCCATAGCTTTAGTCAAATTTGGAATCACCATCCAATTTGGTGTATTGGTGTCGAAAATTGAACCAACACATGGATTATCTGCAGGTGTGCAATGGTACGATTTTTGGAAATAAAATTGAAACATCAGTCCACGTTTCATCAGTAATTGTGGCTTATCACTTCTGTCCTATCTCCATGAAAGTACTGAAAGATTCAATTGGGGATTTTTACCTTAAAAGATGAAGGACGCACTGAACATTTTCTTGAGTATCCTCAACCACCATTTTTTTCATACCAACAATACAAGAAAGACATCAGTTTTTTCCACTGACGTGCGGTCAATTATGATGATATGAAGTATGGTTATATGAAATGTTACCATTAGAGGACCCTTAGCATGCTTTGTTGGATTGAACTGAAACACCACACATATACTCATTATGGATGTTCTTACATGTATGCCAAGTTCCATTAATTAAGATTAATACTGGGACACGGGAGATTTCCCCCATTAAAGAAAATGCTGTTTTATAAAAGGTTAACATTGGACAATGGACACTACATCAAAACAAAACTTATTAATTCAGATCACAACACAACATCTTTATTGTGCAAATCACCTTTTGACATGATAAATACCATCACCCTGTGAAAGCATCTCTGGCTGAACTAATCCATGATCACCATTAAGTAGCTGACACTGAAATAAGTTAGTCACAGTTCTGGTTTTATGCAAATTGTGTATTATTAAAGGCTGATTTTAATTATTCAAAAATGGAAAAGTGTACAAGTTTTTGTAAGTTATTTGATTACTTATGTAAGCTTGGAATTGAGGAATAAATGGAACTGGAAATTGGCTCCACATAGCGCATATTCCAAGCTTTTGAAGTACACATTTGTATATTTTGATCTTTGACTGGTGCTTGAGCATGACCACATGTACTTTTAATTCCCACTTAGCCTTGGGCACAGCTGGCCCATTTCACATGGTTAGTATGCAAACAAGGTACATGTATTGTTCAGTTATTACCTATACATGTAAAATCTTGAACACAAGATAACTGGAAGCTTTTGTTTTGTGGAAAGTTGAAAACAAAAAGTGATTTTATGCAAACTACACGGAGGAAGCGAAATAGCAACTGTGCTACCATGAACATGCACATTAGGCACACTACAAGCTGGAACATGATCCATAATCTTTCACCTTACAAAATAATGTGTAACTATTGCACACAACAACTGAACTGTTCCACTTTTTCCAATGTTATGCTGTACCTAGACTATGATGGCCCCCCTAAGGACTTAGTGATGCATACATGTTTGTCAAATTATTGTCAAATTGTAACCTTTTAAATAAGTTCAACTGGCGTGACATGAAGGTGCAACATTTGGGGTACTTGTATCTCGTATAACATGCATTTACATACACTTGTGTGAGAAGGGTACATGTGCTAAATTGTAATAATCTGACACTAAAAGATGGACATTAACAGGATGAGGTTTGATTATGACTATGACTTTGTGATTCCACAGATAACATGCCCAATCAGATGGCTAGGTTTGACCTGAACATCTAATCAAAATGCTACAAATGACTGTAAAGACCCAATGCTAACCTGAATTAGTCACAGACCCTGACTCACTAGTAAAAATGCTGAGTTGGAGAGAATTTTGGAACCACGCTGATTTCTCTATCACACAAAGTGACAATCCTATCTTTCAAAACTGCAAAGCTGTAAAAACTCCTATTTGGTACCGAGGGCAATTTACATCAATGCTCTCTGAATGCCACTCATGCTACACTTATTCATAGACAAAGCTGTAGGCAGCAGGGGTCCAGTCAACCAACTCCTCCTCCTTGAACCACAAAGCTATCTCCTTCTTGGCCGTCTCCACGGAGTCTGAGCCGTGGATGATGTTGCGGCCAATGTCGATACAGAAGTCGCCGCGGATGGAACCTGGCTTGGAATTGGCCTGGTTATAAAGAACAAAATACAGTCATGATAAATGACAGGTAAGAACAGGCAATGAAAGTGTCTTTTGACAAAGCATGTATGAATGTATGTTCTCGCAGAGAACTGGATACATGTATTAAATATTTCTCAGGCAACTTGAGTAGAAGTCAGAGCAGAACCAAGACGTCCACCATTTAAGTTACCAGACCTCATGTTGGCAGACCCAGAACATGCCAGTGCTTTTGAATAAGGTTACTGTTGTAAAGTGTACTGCTGAAGAACACAAATGCTATTATTTCCCTTCCTGATTCATTGCCACACAGGATAGCCTAAAAACTGCCGTGTCTTCCATTTTCTGCACAAGTGTTTGTCACAAATATTGGGGCTTAACCAAACTTTGAAGCCAAAGGCACCCTGAACCCTGTATATCCTACAGATCTGCTAAACTCCATTTTAAAAGTGCATGAGTACCCTGTACCAGGCACACACCAACAAGAAAGTGCATGCGATGAATTGTCTCAGGAAACTGTTGCTTGTTATAAAAATTCAAAAATTCCCTTCTCCTGTCAATTCCCTAGCTTACTGCCTAGAACCCTGATCTAATAAGTTGCATTAGTTCCCTACATCCACATTTCTGCACAAGTAAGGGGCCTCTTTAAAGGAACCGATACGTAGTTGGATGGCTATTTCCCATGTTCAAGGATTGGAACTCACAGGGTCTGTTTCCCCCAGAAAGGAACTGATACGTAGTTGGATGGCTATTTCCTAAGTTCAAGGATTGAAACTCACAGGGTCTGTTTCCCCCAGCATGGTACGGCCGGTAGCCACCACGCCTTTGCCCTCCCACACCATGGGGAAGACTGGACCACTGGACATGAAGGCACACAGTCCCTTGTAGAACTTCTTCTCCCTGAGGTCGTAGTAGTGCTGCTGGACAAGCTCCGGCGAGGCCTGCAGCAAGGATGACAACATTCCAGTAATTATGAATCTCTAATTTCACTTGTTTTATGATTGGCAGCTGGCATGTCATTCCCTGAATGAACCCTGAATGCTATGTTCAAAGTTGGAAAGGTTGCCATTTGGGGGGGATGATGACTTGGTTGATAAATGAGTGATAGCAAGAAAAGTTTTCTCTGCCACAGTTTGGCCAGCTTTAATCAAGGATATGAGAGCACATCCCTGATCCCATTTACTTCATCTTTGATCATGTTGATAATTTTTCTTTGATAATTGGGAATCAGAGATAGGCTCATATGGAAATGTCAGTGAGCAGTCACACTGTCTACTCATAATTTATGAATAAAAACTTTCTCTCTATAGAGAGATGATGCATACAAAGGCTTCTGCAGGAAAAACTCAAAAGAAAAAAATATAGTTCTGTAAATAAAAATATCAAAATATAAAAATGTGACTTACTTGTGCAATGAACATCTACATGTATCTTTTCTGTTATACTACAAAGATCCTTTTTGGAGTGTACGTATAAAAACACATACTAAGAAATTGACTTTGGACTTTGTCACTGCAAGGAATCATCTTGGTTAGTTGTTGGTCTTTGATGGATGTTAGAGTTTTCATACAATACACGGGTGCATGCACTTGACCTACAGTACACTCCTGCTGTTAAGATTTTGTACTCCCTTTCAGTTCCTGTCTGCATTTATATTCCCAGGGTTAATTTTAGTATCACATTTTTCCCTTTCAACTTCTTCCAACTGTTCATCCTTCACGGCTCATAGCCTCATGCTGGGTTCCCCCCAGAATGACTGCTGGATCTGGGTCCTCCAAGTCATGAACAAAACAACTTTCAGCTTTTGAAATCTTTTGGAAAAACATCTTTTTCTGTTGAAATTCTGTGGGGAACATGCACCAGGAATTACCTGCAGAAGGATTAGTGTTAAAGAGACTGTGGAAATCTTCACAATAAATGTACATGATTTGTGGACAGCCATAATTTGCGTGTGCTGATCAATTTATACATGTATAATGAAGCAGTACAATACTCAGGCGTGTTCGTGTGCCTACAACATCACATGTACACGAGAGCAAAGGCCATACTTCTCATTAAAAAAAAAGAAAACCCTCTGCTTAAGGGTTTATTCTTAGTCAGCCTTGAATTAATGAATTAATAAAATGGCAGCACTGATTGGACGTGTATGGCTACTCATTAATTATTAATTTTGTTTGATGGTTCGGGAAGCCACCTATTGTAGGTTGGCCCTTGTGGACAGAAATTCACTTAGTCAGCAATTCTGCATGCTCTGAATTATTGAAGACTCAATGAAATGAGATCTTCGGCAAAAGACATTAAAAATGGAAACATGCCCGACAGAAAACTTGTACAGGTGCATGCCTTTCTGGACACGCATGTACCATACTTATGAAGGAAAAAATATGTTTCATTCTTTCAAGTGCTATCTCTACATATATTCTGTTCTAAATAAACTTTTTAAGGTGAAAAAAATACAGAATCGTGGATGTGTATGCACGTTCGGACAATGGATTCCATGTAAGTGCACATGGAAAGTTTTTATTTGTTCTGTATGAATTTTTATTTGTATTCTAGAATTCTTAAAGATGATTTCAACTCTATAAACCTACTTTCAAAAAGCCACAGGACTACTGAACAGCCATTTAAATAGTTCACTCGGTTGATTTCTTTTCTTATAAAAAGGCCACACTGCAATGCTAATGTATTCAGGTAAATATTTACTACAGCACAGATTGCCAGTCTGTGCCACACTATGTGCCAAAATCATTTCATTCATATGAATAACTTGTGCCTGCAGAAATGAGATACTTATAGACTTGCTGGCCATAGTTGGGGCAGCCCAACTGTAGCACTGTAGTTGGGACTGTCTCTACAGGGTGCTACATGTATAGGTGGGGCATAACAGTCACAACTCCATATACGGATGCCGCTTGACACCCTGTGCAGAAACCCTATGAGACTGGTCTGACAATTTTTAAGTGTTTTCTAAGGAAACAACTTGGTTTTTTCCCTCCTAAATTGAACTGTTCTGGACATACTTTAGCTTTAAGATGACTAATTGGTCACTGTAGGGAATAACTACTGGTGTCCATATTTGGAACTCTTCCCAAGCTGATGAAACACGATGCCAAATCATAGTAGCCTAACAAAGTTAAATGTAACTTTGTGAGCAAGGGCAAGTAACACCATGGAGGAAGGAAAAGCACTGAATGCTAGACAAAATTATAAAATACTAGGGGCCTAGCTTTTCTGAAACAAGAATTGGTCCGTTAGAAAACTGAGACCTTGCATGATGCATCAAATTTTCCCACTACCCCCTAGACCTGAACAAGTCAGGATCCCCTGCAATGTTGATCTGCGTAAACATTTATGCTTTGGATATAGAGGTTTTTTAACACTGCGCAGAGTTACTTGCTTCTTGCCCTCTTGTGTCCACTTATTACTGTGAGTTGAGAAATTCTGACTTGACGACTCTACCAACCATTTGTACGCAGTGAATGGGCTCATCTACATGTACCAAAAGTGTAGCAGCAATCACACTGCCAGACTTGTTTTTACATCGTTCATACCTGCATAATAATGAACAAGTCTACAAGTCTACTTTGATTGGAGGAAATTCTGTATACATTATGAAAGATCACGTTGTTCATATGCAATTATGAATAACTACATATCACCGCAGGGGGTCTGATAGGTTTATCCATCAAGTCAGACTTACTAACTGGTGACGTATGACATACATTGTACAAGAAAGGCTATTAAATTAGGGTGCCTTATAACTTAGGGTTATGCAAGCTGCTGAGTGCAACAACTAGGTACTTTGCACAGGTCAAAGGGATGACAGACTGGGAAGAGCAACGTAAGTCTGACTTGATTAAAGTCTTCCTACCCCAAGAACTGTGGGATCTGTCGTCCATCCCGCTCCCACGAACAGTTGTGGGATAACTTTCCTACCACCTCCTGAGTGTCGTAATCACTGAAACAAATCCTCTCACCCTGCCAATGCCCCCCACCTTCCCTGAACGCATCCTCTTTCAATGTCTTTGCCACGCCTACCCCCAGACATGCCAGAATGGGGTCCGAAGTCATGGGAGCAGGGCGGACCACACAGTTCTGGGGGGGTTATGCCGCGCTGGCGTGCAGTCATACTTGTAAAAAAGCAACACTCACGCTAGCCCAGGTTGGACGACATCTACATTGCATGCGACTAATGTCCAGAGTATGAAAGTCCTCGAGGCCTCCTACTAAGTACTAGGCCTATGCGAAATTTTTTTCAACAGTTTTTTTCTCACATTTTTACCTGACGAAGACAGCTCAAGTGCCTTGTATCATGAATTCTATAAATGCTGTGTTGAAATTATACTCCCGCGGACGACGTATTTTGCTAGCTCTACTGAGTGGAGCGTTAGTCATGTTTTAATAGGACATAGTAGAGCTAGCACGGTGCACTAACGCAGCAGGCCTACCTTTACGAGTTTGGCAGCCACCAATGTGAAGCCCTTCTGCTCAAATCGCTTGATGATCTCAGCAATCAGGCCCCGCGACACGCCATCGGGCTTAACCATGATAAAGCTGCGCTCCTTCTTCGCGTCTGTCATCTTGGTGCGGTAAATAAACGAGAAAAAAGCGAGGACAGTGGCGATCATGTGGACGACCGGCAGCCGGCAACTTGCAAGAGAACTTCCTTAGTCTAAGCTCCGTCTCAGTAGCCCATTTGTTTTTCACGCATGTTATTCGAGTCGGAAACCAGACATTTAAAAATCCTTTTTATCTGATCACGTGGTGATTATGTTCACACATAAAATGGAGTAACAGCAAACACAAGGTACAGTTTGGGCAAAAGAGATCTATTTGGGATAATAGAGTGCTTTATTTATATGCGTATGTTAAATAGAAAAATATACACAGCCTGGACTGGTTTGGCTCTCTGTGCACATAAGCGACTGCAAGACATGTGCAAAACAGCCGTCGATGGTTTACTTGAAACCATTCGCCGTTGGCGGCGCTCTTATATGATGGACATGTGGCGGCCGTACTGTGTTGTTTGGTTGTTCAGCGGTACACTAATGAGCTGTCTTAAGACGCAGAGTTATTAGTGCTAAGTACATGTATTGTGTTTATTGTTGGCTTTGAAAGAATTGTATGAAATGCTTCGAAGGGCAAAGAAACGATCAGTGCCTTCAGAAGACAGAGACATCTCAAGCTTGACCACCAACTCCCAGGCAAAGCATGTTGAATTGCGTGAATCTGTCGAGGACAAACCATGGAAGGTTAACATGGTCAACGCTCACCGGCATGCGCATGACCACGATGAGAAGATAATTCTTGGGATGCCCTCCCAGAAACAGGATTCAGAAGAGGCCTTCCTGGAGAAGTTCGTTCTGGGAGGCCAGGAGTCCTTTGTTGAGAATTTGGAGAGGGGAGAAAAGAAGGTATGGGCTTAATGAAGAGACGAATACACTATCTGACTGTGACTGT